CCTCAATGTCTGTTGAGTGTTTGAATCATGAATGAATGTTGAATTCTGTCAAAGGCTTTTACAGCATCATTGAAAAAATGTATATGCTTTATTTTCTTAGATTTATTAACATGATGTATAATGATACATTTTCTAATATTGAACCAACCTTGCATTTCTGGAATAAATCTCACTTGGTCATGATGTATGTTTCTCATAATGTGGTATCGATTTGCTTTTGTAACTGTGCTATGAGCACATGAGAATAATATGTATTCCCTTCAGAGTGTAGAGTTTGATATATAACCATGAGATTTACCCTATGAGCCCTGGCTGAGTAGCTCAGTTGGTTACAATGTCATTCCATTACGTAACACCAAGGTTGCAGGTTCCATCCACAGTTAAGACATATAAGAATCAATCAGTTAATACATAAATAAGTAGAACAAAAACAATTGATATCTCTCTCATCAATTAAAAAAATAAAAATTAAAAAAAAGATTTACCCTATTGATTATGTTGTTTAGATCTTCTATCTCCTTTTTTGGTCCATTTTATCTGTCCTGTACTAAGAGTAGTATATTAAAATCTGTTATTGTGTTTCTATCTGTCTCCATGAACCACCTGTAGTTTTTGTTCATAAACAGAGTTGCTCTGCTATTTAATATATAAATACCATAATTAGTTTATATTCATTGTGGACAATAGCATTTGCTAGTAAAATGTTCTGTGTTATGTTGTTAAATTTAATATAATTAATTAAATTATATCTAATTCCCCAAGGCAGTGGTATCATATTGGCTCTGAAGAGGGGTACAGAGAAGGGAAGGAAAACTTCTCTTTAGCTCCCCATTTATATCAAATGCTTTATGTGAGACCATGTGTATGTCTCTCATCCTAAAAACATATATAAAGAATACAACACTTCTATTGCAACATTATATACTAAGTTTACATGAGGTCTCTCCAGAAAAAGTCCAACCATTGTTAATATAACAAGAACAGTTTTCATGACGTTGATGCAACCTGGCAGCCAAGGAGAGTAGACTGGAATGCATATGCGTGAACAATGACAACTTCACTGTACTAATCAGTGGGGGTGGTAGATACTATTGAGTGAGCAAGTGTACTGTGTGGCCATCACATTCAAAATGACTGAGTGAGTAGAGCAATGAATCTGCATCAAATTTTGCATTAAGCTTGAACATTCCTCTGTGGAAACTATTTGGATGATTCAGAAGGCCTCAGCTATGGGCAGCTGATATTTGGCAGCTTCATCACACACCCACTCATGTATCATATTTTGTGTAGAGTTTTTGGTGAAACATCAAATCACCCAGGTGACTCAGCCCCGCTACAGCCCAGATTTAGTGCCCTGTGACTTCTGTTTTTTCCCCGAAACTAAAATCGCCTTTGAAAGAGAAGAGATTTCAGACCATCGGTGAGATTCAGGAAAATACAACAGAGCAGCTGGTGGCAATTGGGAGAACTGTGTGAGGTTCCAAGGTGCCTACTTTGAAGGGGCCTAAGGGGTCATTGTCCTATGTACAATGTTTCTTGTATCTTGTATCTTCTTCAATAAATGTCTTTTTCATATTTCATGGCTGGGTACTTTCAGACAGACCTTGTAGATTAACCCTCTTGCTGAAAAAATAAAATTACTGAAAAAAATATTAAATAAAACAAATAAAAATCCTTGAATGCATCTATTAACTAGTAGAGAAGTAAAAGAGCTCAGATTAGAGACTGAATGAGGGTTGGAAGTCAGAAAGGTAAGTGGAGCCTGAAACTGGTTTTTGCCTGAAGGCCTTTGCCTAGGCATTGGATTCACAGCCTGAGGAGGCGGGGACAGAAGGCAGATTCTAGAGTTTAGCTAAAATGAAGAGTCTATAGTTGATCTCTTCAGTAAAATTGAGCTACTCTCAAATAGAAAAGCAAACTAAAAATAACCTTCACATCAACTTTTTTAAGCCCTCAGAAATAACTCTGGTATTGAAGTGAGGAGCAAAAGAAATCTTCTGAGAATTCATAAACAAAATCAAACCTCGTGTATTGCAGCTGTAATTCACAATATCTGGAACTCACAAAAAATCCCAAGCTGAGAATTTAGTATTAGCCCATGATTTGTAGTTCCCCCTGTTGTCTGCTAGAAGCAAATGCAAATATTTTCTCAAGGAGCCTCTCACCCCCATCTCAGTCTACAATACATTTTCCACAGATAAAGTTGCAAGGAAAATGAAACAGCTAGCTCGCAGCAAAGAACACACGCAAGGGAATGAGACACCAGCAAAAGCAACTGATAGCAGAATCAGATGCAGAATATACAATGAGAATGTTCAGGGCAAAAACTAAAATCTTTCCCACTAAGATCAGGAACAAGACAAGGTTGTCCATTTTCACCACTTCTATTCAACATATTATTGGAAGTCCTAGCCACAGCAATCAGACAAGAAAAGGAAATAAAAGGCATCCAAATTGGAAAAGAGGAAACAAAACTGTCATTGTTTATGATGACGTGATAGTGTACACAGAAAATCCTATCGACTCTACCAAAAAACTACTCAACCTAATAAATGAATGTGACAAAACTTCGGGATACAAAGTCAATATTCAGAAATCCAAGGCATTTCTGTGTACCAACAATGAAACACCAGAAACAGAAATCAGGAAAAAATCCCATTTGATATAGCACCAAGAAAAATGAAATACCTAGGAATAAACCTAACCAAGGAGGTAAAAGATCTGTACTCAGAAAACTACACAACACTGAAGAAAGAAATCAAGGAAGACACAAACAAATGGAAACATATACTGTGTTCATGGATCTGAAGAATTAAGATCATCAAACTATCCATACTACCCAAAGCAATTTATAGATTCAATGCAATACCTATTAAAGTACCAATGGCATATTTCACAGATACAGAACAAACACTTCAAAAATTTATATGGAACCATAAATGACCCTGAATAGTTGCTGCAATTTTGAGAAAGAAGAGCAAATTAGGGGGGATCACAATACCTGATACCAAACTGTATTATAAGGCCACTGTAATCAAAACAGCCTGGTACTGGCATAAGAACAGACACATAGACCAATGGACCAGAACAAAGAGCCCAGAAATAAACCCAAGTCTCTCGAGTCAATTAATATTCAACCAAGTAAGCAGCAGCATAAAGTGGAGTAAAAATAGCCTCCTCAACAAATGGTGTGGGGAAAGCTGGACAGCTACATGCAAAAAAATGAAACTCCAGCACCAGCTTACACCATACACAAAAATAAATTCAAGGTGGATAAAAGATTTAAATATAAGTCATGACACCATTAAAGTTCTCGAGGAGAACATAGGCAGGAAAATCTCAGATATTCCATGCAGTGGTATTTTGACTGATATGTCCCCTAGAGCAAGGGACATAAAGGAAAGAATAAACAAATGGGATCTCATCAAAATAAAAATCTTCTGCACGACTAAAGAAAATAGCATTAAAATGAGAAAAGAACCAACCATATGGGAAAACACATTTGCCACTGATACCTCGGACAAGGGTTTGATCTCCAAAATATATGAAGAACTCACACAACTCCACTCTTAAGAAGAAAGCAGCACAATTAAAAAAATGGGCAAATGATCTTGAACAGACTCTTCTCCAAGAGGGTCCAGAGACATATGAAAAGATGCTCAGTATCACTAGCTATCAGAGAGATGCAAATTAAAACCACAATGAGATACCACTTCACCCCATTGAGAATGGCCATCATAAACAAAGCAACAAACAACAAGTGTTGGAGAGGTTGTGGAGAAAAGGGAACCCTAGTGCACTGTTGGTGGGATTGCAGACCGGTACAACCACTATGGAAAACAGCATGGAATTTCCTCAGAAAACTAAAAATGAAACTGCCTTTCCACCCAGCAATTCCACTGCTGGGATTATATCCTAAGAACCCTGAAACACTAATCCAAAAGAACCTCTGCACCCCAATGTTCATAGCAGCACAATTTACAATAGCCAAGTGGTAGAAACAACTTAGGTGTCCATCAGTAAATGAATGGATCAAAAAACTATGGTACATTTACACAATGGAATTCTCTATGCAGCAGAAAGAAAGAAGGAGCTCCTGCCCTTTGCGACAGCATGGATGGAACTGGAGAGCATTATGCTAAGTGAAATAAGCCAGGAAATGAGAGACAAATACCATATGATCTCACCTTTAACAGGAACCTAATCAACAAACCAAACAAGCAAGCAAAATATAACCAAAAACACTGAAATTGAGAAGAGGCTGACAGTGACCAGAGGGGAGAGTGGAAGCGGTTATAGGGAAAAAGGGTGAAAGGTTTATGGTAACAATTATAAAGGACACGTGGACAATAACAAGGGGGAGGGGGACAGGGGAGGGTGCAGGGGTGGGAGGAGAAGGCAGAAAACTGTACTTGAGCAACAATTAAAAAATATTAAAAAATAAAAGATTTAAGTATTTACGAATAAAAAAGAATGTTTAATATATCAATAAAGGAAAGGCTTGAAAATGAGAAAGGTATTTAGTGAAAAAAGTTACATAAAAGCATATACAGAATGATTATATTGCTATAAAGATCAAACATATATTGTGCAGATGGTTAAAACTAAAGAAAAGCAAAGGAGTCATTAACACAGTATAGGATAGTGGTTTCTGGGAGGATGAGAGAGCTGTAATCAGAAATGTGCCGATATTTCTTAACTTAGGTGCTGTGTACTTTAGGATTATTTGATAGCTTTAAAATTATACGTTTTCATGTATATGCTAAGGTTTATAGTTAAAAGGAAACTTTTAGTAAAATATAATGTATAGATCTGTTAATTCATTTTTCTTAAGTTTTATTTATCATTCCCGTTATCAGAGTATTTCAGATACATGGCAAAGCATATGTTTTGAAAAAACTGATTTCTACTAGTATAATGCAGCATTTTTTTTCCATACTTCACAGCAAAAGCATTTGTTTTGGGTTATTACTAATCTTCCCCTTTTTTCTACTTTGCAGCAAGATGAGAAGATGAGGTGAATTTATGGATTCTGGATTTTCTGAATTCTGAAATCATAACAAATCAAACACAGAAATAACTAGGAGAAGAGGAAATACATGATGAAAAGTTTGGGTGGTTGTTTTTTTCTGCCTTTTCATGGAGTGCTGACTTACCCATCTTTTTATGTTTAGATATATGTGCATAAAATAGTTGTGTTGTAATATTACATTTTATTACAAAATTTAAAATCATTTTGGTTATCCTGTAACTTATCTTCCTGTTCATTCAGCTTTTCAACCTAAGAGACTTGAACTAAATTACAGTAGCTGTTAACTTTTAACCAAATAAAATGTATTATAAATACTCTTGCCGTGGTTATCTTATTGTATATCAAGCTAACTTGTTTAGTTTTGTTTTTAAACCATTCAATATATGTGAACACCGTTAGGATTTTAGAAGTCTCTGCCCCGGCCAGCTCCTACTTTCAGAATTACTTGGGCAGTACTTTCTTAGGTGTCAGATTCTGCATTACCTCTATTATGTGTAATCTGATGACTTAGCTGAGGGGTTAACCTTTCACACTTTTGAATTTGGTTTCTATAACTTTATTTTAAAGATTGCTACTAGTCTAGTAAAATAATAAATCCTACTCATACCTGAGATCAGTGAACATAGCCTATCGTATAGTCAAATGACTAGTCAAATTCTATTCCACCTAGATGGAAAAGCTTTCTTGGACAATACCTGACAACTGAGAAGGTGGGCCCAGAAATCTGCATTTTTAGCAAACATTTCTGATAATTCCAGGACATGTCCTTGTACTAAACTTTGAGAAAATCTGCTCTGGGCGTACAGAGCCCACAGAATGTACTCATAATATCAATAGTGTGGGTCAAATGGGGCCAGAGGGTTTTTTTTTTTTTTAAAGGAACAGTGGACGCTGGCGAAGAGCCTGGTGCCCTGGCAGTCTTTGTTCCTGTTCCTGTGTGAGCTCCCATTACTTTCAGCCTCTGCGCCTTCCAGACTCATCCTCTGGGATTATATTTGTTCCTATTGCTTCTTTCTATTTTTTCTCCTTTCTGCAGGATTTGTCTTTTCTTCTCTTCCCCTTCCTATGCAAATTATTTCCCATGTTATGCAGTCAGATTTATCCACCTTTTGTTTCTGGTGGAATTCAGTCACAGTAAGCAACAATTTTTCTGTTCCCAGATTATAAACATATTTTGCTGTGGTTTTATTTTGTTTTTATAATTAAATTTCTGATTCACATAGATTTTGTCCAATTGTAAGCTATGAATGCAATTTTGACCTTTTTCCAACTGACTTCTCCTCGTTAATGAAAAAGCCCGTGTTTTCCAATACTGACTTGAAATGTCACCTTTTTTTAAAGTTGTATTCCCATGTGCACTAATATTTATTTCTCAGTTCTCTGCCTAGTCTGTCTTTTTTTGCCCCACTAATAAACTTTAAATTATAGAGACTTTTAGGGAATTTCAGAGTGTCCCTCATATGTTCTACACATTTCTTGATAGATTTATGCCTAGGTATTTTATCTTTTTTCTTGGTAATATATATGGCATCTGCTCTTTGATTCTTCTAATTGGTTATTGTTTGCATGTATGAAGAATTGATTTCTCCATGTTAATTACTATGTTATTGTTTGTAGTATTTTCTAAAATATCTCTTGAAACCAAGCTAGCTTTACCTCTTGTTTTCCCTCAGTTCTTATTCTGCTCTTTGATTTCTCTTGTCTAATTGCATGGCTGTTGCCTTGAGTGAATTTTAAAGAAGTAGTAGGAAAAATGGATTTTCATGCCTGTTGTTCCTGATTTTCCTGGGAATGCCTATGGTTTTACCCCATTAAATAAGATGCTGGGTATATTTATAATCACATTAAAGTATTTATAAATTATTACTTTGTTGAGTGTTTTTTTTTTAAATCAAAATGTTGTATTTTCTCAAGTGACTTTTGGCATTGATGGAGATTGTATTAGAGGCCAACCAAGGGACAGTTACTTTATAAATTGTTAACCATATATGAGAGAACTGACAAGAAGTGAAAAGGCAAAAGGGACCAGTGGAGTATCACAGAGGAAGTAACTGCAGGAAGCACCCACCACCTCTGGGGCTGAGGGGACAAAGAGGAAAGGATGTAATTGAAACATAAAGGCTTGGAGGAAGAGTTCCAGCACTCTGGGGAAGGTGTGCAACTGGTTGGTACTGTTTCCCTGGAGGACTAGGACAGGACTGGTCCGAGAATGTTTGGGGCCAACTGTTACTGCTGCAGTAGTTGTCCTGCCCACGTGAACCATTTCTGTGGCAATGCTCACAGAAATAGGAGGCAAGCAGGAAGTTGGATATTTCTCCCTCTGTGTTCCCAGTGTGGTGTATGTAAAGCAAGTCTGGAAAATAGTTCTGTTCCATTTGAATTTTTGAAAGGTATTACAGCACAGATTTTGAAAATGTAAACAAAGACCTAAAAAGTTAACTGTGGTGAATTCTAAGTTGTAAAAATCACCTACAGGTGATTTTGATTTTTATGCTTTTCAGCATTTTCCAAGTTTTTAAAAAGTTCTCCAAGATGTTTTACATCTCTTGATATTTGCCAGATAAACTTTGGTTATTTACTAGGTAAACAGTGAATAATGATAAATCTTCTTAAAAGTTTATTTCCATATTAAGATAGCTCTTGATTTTGAAAATAAACTTAAGTAATTACTTATAAAACTAGTTATGAAGTGGTAAAACTATTCATTGTCCTTAAGCTCCTTCCCTGTATAGTTGGGATAAATATGATTGTTTATTAACTGCAAACTGTGCAGGAGTGCAGCGGGCGTGGTGGAAGGGGAAGTCCAAAAAAAACAACCAGAAAAAAAACTATTCCCGGTCTGGAAATCTGGCTGAGAAGCAACGTAAAATATGTAATGAAACTGGACGACCAAAGAGGCCGTCATAGGACCTGCGGGACCCAATAAGAAGGCGCTCACCAAACTTGGGGATCTTAATCAGGACTTTCTCCATCCGGCTCGGCTGGACTTACGGCTCCAGCAGTTGCATCTCATTTGCCCTGTCAGCGTGGTTGGGTCCAGGGTGCCAGAGATCCTTCCTGGGAGCCCTCAGACACCCGAGCCCAGCTGAGGAACCCGCCTGTGTCGCCACCATGGACAGGGCGGCCGAGCTCCTCTTCTACGTGAACGGCCGCAAGGTGAGCGCTCAGGGCCTCCCGGAACAGCAGGGAGGGGCTCCTGCCAGGTAGCCCTCAGGCTTAGAGAGCTAATACACGCAGGGGGCTTGTGGTTTGCAAGCGGATTTGCCTCTGCATCCCCATCTCCACCTCCGGGGTAGGTAAAGTATGAGTGTTTAGGGACTCCCCGGGATCTTTGGACCCCACCTTCCAGATGTTCTTTCCCCTCTCCGCCCAGGACGCACAGGCCCATTACCTCTCCACCCCACCGCGTAAACAAGAAAAGTAAGAGCTATTTTTAATTTGTCAAGGTCAACACTCCAAAATCATCCCTCCCTCCTACCCACCCTCCTCCCTCCCGCCTGAAAGGAGAATGTGTTTCCATAGATTGAAAACAATCTGGGGAGGGCTGAGCCTCAGCTCCAGAGGTGTGCTTGACTGAGCAGGGAGCCATTTAGAATTGGGACAGGACCATGGAGTTGAACTAATTTCAAATCACTGCCATCATTTCTCAGATAACAAAATTATAATTTTCTGAAAGCACAGATAGTTCTTGGCAGAGCTGAGCTAATGTTGGGCTCTGGGAACATGGTCTTCGCTAAGTCCACTGCTGGCTTGGCATGGCAGGGCCTCTGTCCCCGCAGAAGCCAAACAATGTTGATGTTGGGAAAGCAAAGAACCTCTGGGACAGTTGCAAACAATGTCGCTGTTGGGGGGAAGCAAAGCCCCTGGGTAACTTTTAAAACACCTTTCCTATCCCCATTGTCCCCCACCCCACACAGCCTTAGGCTCTGCTCGCTCCTAATGTTGTCCCAGCATATTGGCATCATTTTGCAAGGGGGGGACTGAAGCAGGAAGGGTAAGGGGCTTCCTTAAGAGCTGACAACCAAGCTGTGCTACCTGCCTTTGCACTGTGCCAGCACCTTCAGAGCCACCTGTGATCCCTGCACCTGGGTCACAGAAGCCACAGCACTTTCCCTGACTGGCACAAAGGACTCAGGAGGGAGCCGAGGTCATGCGTCAGAGCCTCCCACTGTGAGACCTGTTCTAAGCCTTGAGCTTAATTTAGCATTTGTAGTTTCCTATTATTTTTCTTAAAGAGGACTGCTCCCCCACCCACCTCATGCTACACAAGTTCTAGGCCCCATAAAGCCTGCCTCTGCCCCTGCTCTCTGGCTTGCACATGGGTAAGGTGAGCTTGTTTTTCCTGATCTGTAACGGTGGCTGTCAGGACCCCCTGATAGGACAGCTGTGACAGTGGCATATACTAGTGGGGCAAAGTGTTAACATGTCAGTCTTTCTTCTTTCGCATAACTGAATGGTATATAGTTAGTGCAACCCTGGCCTTTTTGTTGAAACAAGCTGGGGCTCGATTTTGGCTCTAACTTTTATGGAGACACTTTAACCTCTGAGAGCCTCACCTCCTCTGTTAAAAGCGAGTAATACTACTTAGTTCACAGAGTGATAACGAGTACTAAGTCAGGTTTTTGGTAAGGGTCTACTTTAGACCAGGCAGTACCCCCAGCTCAGGGGACAGCAGAGCACAGAAATGACCAAGTCCCTGCTTGCGTGTAGTTTATATTGTGCTGGCAGGTAGACAACAAACATACAAATAAGTGGAAATGTATGAGGGCAGGCAGTGATAAGTGCTAGGGTAACAAATACAGCAAAGTGAGGGGACGGAGTGGGCAGGAGCTGCCACTCCAGGCGGGATGGAGTTGCAGCCTCTTCCAGGGGATGACATTTGAGCAGGGACTGGCCTGAAGTAAGGAGCAAGCCCTGCCTGCAAACATCTGGAGGGAGAGTGTTTAGAGGCAGTGGAGGTGCAAAGGTCCTCCCGCAGGAGGATTTCTGCATGTTTAGGGAAGGGCCAAAAGGTTGGTAGGGCTGGACACTGGCCAGGGGTCAGATTACAATGGCTTTCTAGTCAATCGTAAGGTTTTTAGTTAAGTGAGGAAACGGATATTTGAGCCTAGCTTCTTCCTGCCCACCCCAGTCCCCCTTCCCTGGCTCCCAAACAAACTGCTGTAGGGTTTTATCATAATGGCTACTAACGGGAGTGTGCTTTGTTGATTTTTAAAAATAAATAAACTGGTTCTTATCTATAGGTTTGATTTATGAGCCAAATGTCCTTAGATCATTTGGAAAGTACACAGTAGGGATGTTGTTTTTGCAATTACCCTGTTAAAAGAAATCATGTCAACTTTTCCCTTTCTTTCTCCTCCCTTCTGGTATCTGTTGAGTGTGTGCTTTAATCCTGGCAAGCAAGCCTGATTGCCAGGTGGACAGCATTAGAATAAAGTTTCTGGTTCAGAACAGAGAGGCTGTTGAGAAAGGTGTGAGAGAGAAACCACTGGGGAAGATGGGTCTTGGAGTCTAGCATAACCTCTGGGATTAAACACTTGCCCTGGAAAGGAACCGTAGAAACCAATTAGGCGACTGTAGGTGATGTGATCGGCCTGCGGTCTGTGTTTTTTTGTGAAATCCCCCCAAATCTCCAAAAGATGTCATTGGACAGGGTCTAAGGCCATTGCTCATTGGTCAGAGATTTAGTTGCAGAAAGATTTCTGAATCTGACTTGCTCTCCCAGGGCCCCCAGAACAGGCGTCCTGGTTGACAAGGAGTTTGAGGGGGAAGAGCCCATGAACAAATTATGCCCTAAATGCTACTCTCCAGTACAACTCTGGACTGAAGCATGTCGTTCCACATGGCAGTGAGGTGTAGAGATCGGAGGTGTGGGCTTTGAAAGTAGTTAGACATGGGTTTGAATCCTGCGCTGTCTGCTCTGCCTCTTGGCAGTGCGGGAGCCTCAGGCAAGTTGCTTAATATCTCTGAGTGTCAGGTTTCCTCTCTGCAAAATGGAGCTAATAACAGTACATTCTCTCATGAACTGGAGATGAAGATTAAATTCCATGGAGCGTGGTTAGCAAAGTATTTGGCACCCAGTTAAGCACTCGATAATGATTTGTAATATCTGGATTGGAAAATAATCTGCTTCATGCATACAGCCAGAACCTGCCCACGAGTATCAAGGGGGCTGGAAAGTAGTCTTTCATTTGCTGAACAAAAGGTACAGCCTTGATACCAATATCAGAACCTGGGTAGAGCTGTCCATTGGCTCTTGTTTTCTGGGGCTTTGGTTTATAGGGCTGGGAGAGGACATTTCTGGGCTGCTGGGATGGCTGTGACAATTCAGAGAAAAGTGAAGGGGGTGGAGGCAGCTTAGACAGGAATTGAAATGAATTTGAAAACAACTTGAAGCTCAGGCAGAGGTGTCCTCACTGGCTGTCCTCTCGGACCTCCTTCTCTCCTCTAATGCCGCCATGGGTTATTGTTCTTCTCTACTAGCAGTGACAGTGCGTAACCTCCTTCCTCCCTCTTCTACTTGTCAGCCTTGTCCTTCCTCACGTACCTCTCTCCCTTCCTCATCGCCATTCTTCCGCCTTCTTGCTCTCTCCCCCTAATCTCCTTTCTCTTTCTACTTTCTGCCTCTCTCTTGGGTCTGGCAAGGCCCCCTCAGCCTTGCACAGAGGAAAGTGATTTCTCAACCCTGTGCAATGTGAACCTGAAATCTCCCAAAGGGCCGGTGGGGATACAGAAGGACAGGCACTGTTCTTGCAACACCCAAGTCTGTCCTGAGACAGGAAATGTGATGACCCTGACCTGAGAACTGGTATCATCTCTCCGAACCAGAGTCAGTGAGAATAGCTCTTTCCTCCCGACCCCCAGCTACTGTCTTAGTCCTGACCTCCCCCTTTACCTCCAGCACGTTACATCCCTTCTCGTCTTCCAAATATGCTGTCCACCAAATCAAGAAAATTAAACATATTTTGAGCCAGCAACACTTTGAGCCAGACTCCAGTATCTTGAAACATCTGGAACAAGTACCCAAACAAGCTAAGTCTGCTGCTTCCATTAATTTCTTCCAAAAATATGCAAATAATGCCTCAAGCCTAAAATACTTTTCTTTGCTATCTAGGCTACCCAGATCAGCTGATCCACTAAAATTTGTCTTCAGTGGATTTGCCATCCTATGTATTAATTAGAATTAGTTTCTGCTACAAATGGCTCAGATTCAAAACTAACAGTGGTTCAAACAAGAGAAATCTTTTTTTTTTTAATTTTTAAAGAAAGGCTGTCTGGGCATAGACATTATGGGGCTGGTCCAGAGGCTTTAGTATCATCTGGGACCCAGGTTCCTTCTTTCTTTCTCCTCTGCTGCTGTTAATAGGTTACCTTATGATCTAAAATGGCTGCTGGAGTTCTAGCCATTTCATCCCTATTCCAGGCAGCAGGAAAGGGAGAATGCATGCTGGGATAGTCAACCAGCAGTTTCTGCCACCATTATTGGCACTTCTCTCCTTCTTTTTCTTTTCTTCTGTTCAGATGTCCCAGCCTGTGAGAACTCATCCCTTCCTCCTTAGTGTTCTCCTAGCAAATTGTACATATCATGTTCAAGTTATTCATTTAAATTAATTAACATTTATTATACCAGCATCCAGCTCAGTGTTTGACACAAAGAAGAATAGCAGAAGGTGGTTTCTCTTGGGGAGAAAAAGAGGCTTACACATCACAAATAATTATGATGTGGGGTAAAACATCCTGTGAAAGATGTGTGGACATTAGCTGTGGGAGCACAGAAGAGGATGGGTACTTGGAGCAGAGTGGGAAGGGGTAGCAGATGGCAGCACCCCTCAACAGGAGAAAATACCTGAGCAGGGCTTTGAATGGCATACAAAATTCTGTCAGACTAGAAGAACCAGAGGACTTTCAGGACTGAAGGGATTCTTTATATATGCACAGGTAGCGAAGGATAAAAGTCTGTGCACTGCTGAGATTGGCCGGTTCTCCCATGTAAGTGAAGTTCAAGATGCATGAGTTAAGGGGCAGAGAGATAATGGGCATTTTATCAAAGAGGCCTTGTAGGCTATTCCAAGATGTTTGAACCTCTTCTTGTATTCCAGGTACTCTTGAATATAAATTCACCTAAGATCCACTCAGTGTGTTCATTAAAGATGCACATTTTCTGGTTTCCTCCCCAAGAAGTTCTGATTCCATAAGGCTTCATTTTAACAAGTACCTGAGTGAACCAGCATGTCAGTTCGGCAGCCAGAAGCCTGTGTTGAATTTAGGCAGATACAGGAGATGATCAGACTTGGGTTTTAGAGAGGTTACGCTGGTAGTGGTGTAGAAGGTGACATCATGAGCGCCAAGAATGGAGGCAGGAGGCCTGTTAGGGAGCTGGTATGATTGTCTAGGCAAGAGGTAACAAGGGCTGGTTTCAGGGAGGTGCCATAGAAGTGAAGCATGTTTAGAGAGTCATTTTGGAAGAATAAGTGGCAGAACTTGGTGACCCCGATTGTGGCAGATCGAAAGAGAGAAAAAGTTAAAAATAAGTAAGGTTTCTGATCTTGGATGACCTAAGCAGATGGTGAAGCTATTCAGCGAATTAGGGAAATAAGGGAAGAAGTAAAACAAGGAGTTCTATTTGACGATCAATTAAGTTTGGGAAGCCTGCGGTACTCCCTGTATTACTATATTGCAGACTCCTGACTAGGGCATGTATCTGACCTTGGTGATTGGTACATGTCTCTCTTTGTCAGGCATATGGCCACTTAGAATTAAAGATGAGGAGGCATCCATAGAATAAGCATGTGTCTCCTCCCCGTCTACTTCCCAGAAGGGAAAATTAGTGAAACATGATGGAAGAGGAACTCTACTTCTGAAATTGTGTAGCAAACTGTGCTTTTATTTGTGAATAGAAAATAAATCTAAATTTTTAGTCAAAAAAGAGAAAACTTGATCACTTTGGAAAACATAACCAGTGGTGACATTGCAATCATGCCTTCTGTCATGTGTCCTGTTCTGCTCTGCCGCCATGCTGCACACACAAACTTGCTTCTTAAGGGTGTCCTTGCTTACACATCTTTATATCACTTGGCATACATGTTTTATTTCTCCTTTTTTTTTTTTACTTGAGGGCCATGGTTGATTGTGATCTCTTCCTGGAAACTTTGAACATGATAAGCAAATGTCTTAAAAAAAAAACTATCAATTTCTAGGAGGCCATTCTATTCCAGCAGTATGTCCCTCTTTCTCTCCTCTCTTTCCGCCCCCTCTCCCTCCTTCCCTCATTATTTTCTACTAATATCTTTTCCTTTACCCACTTTAGACTTCTTGGAGAAGGTGGGCAAGAGTCACTAGTGTTCCCATTAGAAACAGCCACTGCCTTAGAGTGCAGCAGTGATGGTTCAGGACCAAGGACAGTGGCAGAGTGGTGATGGGGCCCAGAATACAGAATTTACACTTTTTTAAAAATATATTTTTTTCTTTTTAATTCTTATTGACACTATTACAGATGTCCTGATTTCTACCCCTTTGCCCACCTCCACCAAACCCCTGCCCCCGCTTCCCTCTGGACATCACCACACTGGTGTCTGTGTCTGTGGGTCATGCATATGTGTTCTTCGGCTAATGCCTTCACCTTCTTTCATCCAGCCCATCCCTCCCTTCTCCCCTCTGACAGCTGTCAGTCTGTTCCATGTGTTCATGCCTTTGTTTCTATTTTGTTCATCAATTAATTTTGTTCATTAGATTCCACGTATACATGGGATTATCTGGTATTTATCTTTCTCTGACTGGCTTCTATCACTTAGCATAATAACCTTTAGGTGCATCCATGCTGTTGCAAAATGTAAGATTTCCTTCTTTTTAATGGCCATGTAGTACTCCATTGTGTAAATGTACCATAGGTTTTTTTATCCACTCATCTACTGATGGGCACTTGGGCTGTTTCCAGATCTTGGCTATTGTAAATAACACTGCTACCCAGCAATTCCACTGCTGGGATTATACCCTAAGAAGCCTGAAACACCAATTCAAAAGAACCTGTTCACTCCAATGTTCATAGCAGCACTGTTTACAATAGCCAAGTGTTGGAAGCAACCTAAGTGCCCATCAAAAAACTATGGTACATTTACACAATAGAATACTATGCAGCAGAAAGAAAGAAGCAACTCCTGCATGTTACGACAGCATGGGTGGATTTGGAGAGCATTATACTTAGTGAAATAAACCAGGTGGTGAAAGACAAATACCTATGAGCTCACCTGTAAGTGGAACCAAATCAACAAAACAAACAAGCAAGCAAAATATAACCAGAGATATTGAAATTGAGAAGAGGCTGACAGTAACTAGAGGGGAGGTGGGAGGGGACAATGGGGGTAAAGGGGGAAGGGTTTTCGGGAACACGTATGAAGGATCATGGACAAAACCAAAGGAGGGTAGGATCAAGGTTGGGAAGTGGGGATGGCTGGGATGGGGGGGAGTAGTGGTAGGGAAATGGAGACAACTGTACTTGAACAACAATAAAAAATGTGAAAAATAAATAAATAATGCTGCTGTGAACATAGTGGTGCATATCTTCTTTGAATTAGTATTCTAGTGTTCTTAGGATATATTCCCAGAAGTGGGATTGCTAGATCAAAAGGCAGTTCCATTTTTAATTTTTTGAAGAAATTCCATACTGTTTTCCAGTGACTGACCAATCTGCATTCCCACCAGCAGTGCACTAGGGTTCCCTTTTCTCCACATCCTTGACAACACTTCTTATTTGTTGATTTATTGATGATAGCCATTCTGCCAGGTGTAAGGTGATGATACCTCATTGTGGTTTTAACTTGCAGCTCTTCAATGATTAGTGATGTTGAGCATCCTTTCATAGGTCTATTGGCCACCTGTGTGTTCTCTTTGGAGAATAGACTTTACACTTAGGTGAGGTGATATGTATGCCATGGATGTTCCATAAACATTAAATGCAGTTTCAAATATGAAAATGAGTTAATAAATGTGCATTTTCATCAAATTAACATAAGTCTGCTCATAGAAAATGATAACTAACACTCTCAAATTTTTGTACATAACTCTTATTTTTCCTTCCGGTACAGGTGATAGAAAAAAATGTTGATCCTGAAACAATGCTGTTACCATATCTGAGAAAGAAGCGTATCCTTTCCTTTGCTTTGTGTTTGTGTGGGAGGTAGGAGTCTCTGACATCCCCATCAAGTGATATTTCAAACATCTTTTCAAGACACACTCAGTGATATTCTCTACTATCGTGGTTTTATGTTCCTCTTTGAGAAAGTCCTACATCTTAGTTTTGTAGGCAGTATGCAGTTGTGACAGTTAGAAGAACTAAGTTCTTTCCCATCTCTGTTTTGGCACTTAATATAGTATTGTATAAATGGAGAAGCTAGCAAAGAGAGTGAAAACAATGGATGTGAAAAGGGCTTAATTAAGCATCCTTTAGAATTAAGAGTCACAATATTGGCATTCTGTCTTGGAGGACTAATCATCATGCCCATCAGAAAAGGAGAGCACCGAAATCTTCTGACATGAAAGTAAAAGAACAAGGGAGAAATTAAACCTGTGAATGTTAGCTTAGAAAAACTTTCTAAATAAAAGTCACGTAAGGAATGCTGTCTTAGCCTGCTGGGCATGAACTCCAGAGGGCTTCCAGAGTTCTGTAGGTCCCATTAAATTATATACCAAATTATGTGACAATGAGAGTTTGTACATTTTATTTCTCCTGGAGAGAGTGAAATCCCCAAGAGAATTCTCAAAAAGCCTCAGTAACTATCTTCTGGGAGTCATTTAATGTCTTTGGACATAAAAACAATGAACACTGACTTCCTGGTTATCCACAGTACTAATGTGTACCATTTTAGATTTGGTTCTCTTGTGAGCAAAAGAAAATCCTCAACAGCAATACACAAGACAGAAGAGAGAAGTTTATTCCTTTCTCATTATGTTAGTTCAGGTTCTCTGGGAATCAGAGACCAGAAAATGGGATTAAATGTGTAGGAGCTTTATTAAAAGAAATGCCTGAGTGAAAGGAAGTAGGGAGGGAGCCAGCGACAACTGGAGCGGTGGGTTGCAAAGTGTAGCCGCCGGGTCTCTTGGTCAGTTACCCTCCCTGTTGAATGAAGAAGGTGTGTGGGGCACGTTCTCATGAATGTCAGGCTCAGGAAGGAATCCCAAAGGCAGGTAGATCCAGGCTGGTAAAGCAGTGTCACAATGTAGTCAAGGAACCAAGCTCCTTATATCTTGCCACAACACGCCACTCAGCATGCAGCTTTCTCCTCATGGTCAGAAATGACTACGGAGGCCCAGCCATCCTGTCTGAACTCCAACAAACAGGAAGAAGTGAGGGATGAAGAAGCAGGCACCCTTCTCCTTTCGAGGACATTTCACTCCTGGGAGTCGCACACACATGCCACCTGCACTTACATCCGTTGACCACATCGCTAATGACCCCATGAAGCTGCAGAGGAGGCTTGGAAAATACATGTTTTATCCTGGGAAACCATGTGTGTAACAAAAAGTGCTGGTTTCTATTACTGGGGAAGAATGAGCAAACAGATATTTGGGAACAACTAGCAGCTTCTACCACCAAGAAGCAGAGAAATACGGCAAACATGGATAATATGACAGAAATATTTCAAGAACTTTTTACAAGTTGACATTTTACTTAGTAGGTCATCAAAGACACAGATAAGGTTGAGAACAACTGTACCATACACTCCTACTTTCAAATACTTAAGGCCTTGTATGTCCTTTTCGCAGTTTGGCCCAATTTTTGGCAACCTGAAGTTCAGTTCTGAAAGGAAAGAGACTAGATATAACTCACAGATGGAAATGGAGAATTTACAAGATTCTAAATAGCAGCTAAGACATGCATACATCATTTGATAATTACATATTAATTTAACTGTATACACACATAAGTCTTTGATAATGTTGTCTCCTGAACTCAAGCTATTCTGGAAAGAGAATTATGGAAAACACATTATCCTTAACTGTGCTTTTTCCAGTCCGACTCACAGGAACTAAGTATGGCTGTGGAGGGGGCGACTGTGGGGCCTGCACTGTGATGATATCAAGATATAACCCCGTCACCAAGAAGATAAGGTACCTTGCAGCAAAGTGCAGACATGGTTGAAATTTTGTAGTTTTAAACCTTGTTTTATTCCTTTATTTGATAAATATGCATTGAGCACTTATGTGACAGGAGCTATGCTAGGTACTGGGGATACAGTGATGATTAAGACAAACATTATCTCAGGAATATAAATGGATTATTAAAACTGTGCCATCAGTGAGGATGATGTATAGTCAAAGAAGCCCCTGTTGAAAGTCAAAGGGCTCTCCGGCTCCCTGTGCTGAAATGGCAGGGAAGAACAAGGCGCCCTCACACACTCTGATATTCCCCCTCCAGCCTGCTGATGATCTCCCTGCTCCCACCCTGGCCCCCATGGAGTGCACTCTCCATACATCACTCAGAAACACCTGTTTCAAGCATAAATCAGATCACAACACTCCCCTACTGAAAAATCACCAATGGCTTCCCATTACATTTAACCTCTTTCATGTTTGATATTTATTCTTGTTCACATTCGCCAAGTTTCTTGGATCTGTGGGTTTATGGTTTATGTCTTCTATCAGTTTTGGAAACTTCTTAACCATTATCTCTTCAAATATTTATTCTTTCTCTCTCCCTCTCCCTCCCCCACCACCCCCCTCTGGGGACCAGTTATGTACATGTTAGACTGTTTTACATCACATCACAGATCTCAGGTGAGGACAAAGGATCTGAGCACTGGGGAGATTTCAGGGACCGGCCTGTGTTCCCCAGCCACGCCACCTGCTTCCTGAACGCGGGGACATCTCTCCCAGTTTTGCAGCCTGGCTGCCCACTGTTTTTGGTCACCGGGGAGTTCTTCTTGCTCTCCTGTTTCACTTTCTATGCTTTGGGAAATCTCCTGCAGCCATGCCACCTGTCTCTAGCCTCTGGAGGGTGGCCAGCTGCCCTGCACTCTGTGCAGCCTGAGTGCCCACAGTGTTCCCTCAGCTCCCCCGCTCCCCCAACGTCTTCCTTGTCTGAGGGCCAATTTGCCTGGAGAGTGTCTTTCAGCGCCTCCTCCCTGCCCTCAGCATTCAGTGAGGTCTGGTGGGGAACAGTTTGGAAATAGTGAGTCCAGATTTGTATTTTACTTTGTTCCATCAGCCCACATGGAGCTATTAAAAGTTTGCTGGAAATTGGTCTGGTTCCTTCTTACTTCTGTCTAACTAAGGCAGAGTCCTTCTCCCCGGTCCATGTCAGTTAGAGATGAGAGTAGCTGTATAGCCTCTCTCTTACGAAGGGCTTGTAGTTTCCATCCTACACATCTCATTAATTTTTAAAAACTATGACCATAAAGCTTATAAGACTGGTTAAGGTTTTTAGAAAGAGAGTGAAAGGTCTCTTACCACTTTCTACATCTGAACTGAAAAATCTGCTGCCTTTGAATCCATATTCAAACTCCTGTCCCTCCAGCCCTTCACCATTCATTACCTGCCTTGTTCCTGCCTGTCTCTCAGCCTGGAGTCCTGTCACCGCCCTGTGTTCACAGGGCTCCAGCCTCACTGGCCTCCTTTCCGTCCCTCACTCCGTCCTTTCATGTCCAAAGCTCATTTCTGCCTCAGGGCCTGTCCATGTGTTGTCCCTCTGCGTGGAATGTTTTCGCCCACAAACCTTCATATCTGATTCCTTCCAATCATTCAGGTTTCAGCAAAAATGTTACATTCTCAGCCCTCCCTGATCACCCCTTAATAGCAATCCCCACCTTACCTCTGCAGTTCCCAGTTCCCATAGTCTATATTAATTAATGCATAGCACTTCTCACCTTCTCAGTTTATGTATGTAAGTATGTGTTGTCTGTGTACATAGGCATTGCCTGTCTCCCCTTCACTAACATATTCACTCTACACAGGAAGGGATTTTATCCAATGAATCCTAGCATGAATCCTAGCATGAATCTCAGCATCTGGAACTCTGCCTGGCACATAGTAGGCACTTGATAAAATTTGCATTTATTTATAAGTGAATAATATCTTTTTGATCTTTCTTTTGTGTGTGTACGTATAGAAGCATACTGCATATGACTGTTTAGAAACGTGTATATTTTGCTTAACTTCTCATGAACATCTTCTGAAAATAATAAATGTAATTTTAATGGTTGTGTATGTTCCATTGCTTAAGTGCACCAAAATCAATCCCCAAATAGATTATTTTTAGTTGTTCATCATTATAAGCAATGTGTCAGTGATGTGTGTGTGTGTGTGTGTGTGTGTAAATGACCGTTTATAACACATCCATAGAGGGGGCCTCTCATAGAGGGTAAAAGAGTGTTTGCATCTGAAAGGTTTTTTTACCTTCCAGTGAAATGTCTCCCAGGAGAGCTCTAGTCTGTCAATTTACATTTTTATTCAACAGTACATGAGTTTCATTGTTCCAAACCTTTGGTAGTAATGCATATTACAACTTTTTAAAATATTTGATAAAAATGGTGTTTCTCATTGCTTAATTTGAATTGCTATTGGTTATTTTGAAGTCAAACATATGTTTCATGTATTTCTTGGCCATTTGATTTATAGTTCTGTTTGGTGAATGAGAACATTCTAGGAATCATTTTGAGGTGGACATTTTCAAGCAGTAGTTTTGTGGGATTAGGGAGTTCTGCGTCCCACACCCTATTCCTTCCTCGGGAGCAGTTTCTAATGCACCGTATGCCCCAACCCATCCCTGGCTCGGGCACCTGCCTGGAGGATGGAATATGCTCCAGAGAGGAGAGTGTCACGCCATCATTCAAGGGAACAAAAAAGTTAGTGGAAACTGTTCTGGCGTTAGAATTTGAAGGTGGAATTGAATCCTGTCTGGCACTCCAGCTGTGTCCCTGAGCAAATCACTCTCACCCTCAGACTCTACTTTTGTAAAATGAACACGAGCTAAGGGTGAAATTTGTATGCAAAGCCAGGGGCATTGTATGAGCCCTTCCCTACTGGAGGTGCTCAGTGAACGTTTGGTCCCCTTCCCCACTGGATACAGTGTCATTTGTGCTTTTCTTCCGCATTCTGAAGACATTACCCAGCCAACGCCTGTCTGATCCCCGTGTGCTCCGTGCACGGCGCTGCCATCACAACGGTGGAAGGGATAGGGAGCACCAAGACCAGGATTCATCCTGTTCAGGTGAGGGCGGGCCTCTTCTTTGTAGGATTTCTGGGCTTCAGAAACCATTAATGTCAGGATGAGACCCAAACATGAACACGGTAAAGTGGTCTGGGCCCTCCTGCTCCGTCAGCCAGCAGATGAAACCAGGAGTGACACCAGGGCCGTGTGGGTGTTTCGTGACTGACTTAGAAAGATGTTTCCAAAGACTAGAGGACTTTCTCTAAAAACAAACAACAGCAGCAAGAAAAAAACCTGCCATCACTGGGTTTGTTTTCTATGTTCTCCTTAGATGGGACCCATTCATTATCCACCTTACACCTTCCAGCCTTCCAAAGAAATGTGAGCCAAGGGCATTGAGGAATATAATGATATCTTTTTTTAAATAAAGTGGAGAATAGCATGATTTTAAAGCTGAATGAAAAATCTCAGCTACCCAAAAGACTTGTTAAATTTAGGGCTTGTTTAGAAGATAGGTAATAAGAATTGTCCATGAATGTTGAGGCTTTTCTTCTAAGGCAGTACCTTCTTAGAACTTTGTTTCAAGTGAAAGGGCACCTGTAACTCCTAGGTCTTTCCATTTTTTATACATTTGCCATAAAAATGCTCTTTGCAACATGTTTTTACCTCAGTTGATGAGGGTCACTGACGAGGAGAGGACTGAAGAGGGAAAAGATTGGGGTGACCTAGAAAATGGCCAAACTTCAAATTCTCTGGACTTGAAGGAGTCTTGAGTTCTGTTTATGTTCTATGAAACTGATTACCTGGAGGGCGTGAATTCTGCCTGGAGACCCTTGTGAGACTTCACTATTCACAGGCATAAAAACACTTTCATTTAGTAACTGCTGCTAAGCCCCTGGTTGCGATGTAGCCAGAAGAGAGCTTCCAGAGTGAGTTTGCGCCTTTGAAGTTAGATTCCCAGGAGAACATGCTGGGAGTGCAAAGAGTTGGGAGAAAAATAAGGGCAATGTTTCCTTCTTGATTGTTTTCAGGGTCAAGCACTGGTGCTTTGTAAACAAAGTTCTATGTGCTAAAGCATCAAGGTGGTTGTGGGTAGATAAAGGGACTCAGGAAATACTTGGGGTTTGTTTTGTTGTTATTGTTTGTTTGAGGTTACCACCCTCAACCTGAGTATAATTCAGTTCATTTCTCTGAACAACTTCCAGGAATTAACCTTTATCTCAGTGATTCCCTTTTGGGGCTACAAATCGAAACCACCTGGGAATCTTTAAAAAATATATGTCTTTGTTGCACCCCTGGAGATTTTTAGTCAATTAGTCTTGGGTGCTGCTTTTGGAAATGTGTCAGCTCCCCCTGGTGATTCAGAAGGCTGAAACCCTTGGGTGAAGCTCCAAAGCTGGGGAGGACCAGTAATCACATCCACCCAGCCCAAGAAAGGGAGACATCTGGGAGGAAAAGGGGTTTGGGGGGCCTCTTCTCCAACCTTTATGTTCACACAATTTGCCTGGTCATCTTGTTAAAATGCAGGTTGTGATTCAGTAGCTCTGGGGTGGAGGCCACGATTCTGCACTTCTAACTTTTTGTGCTTCCAGGAGAGGATCGCCAAGTGCCACGGCACCCAGTGCGGGTTCTGCACCCCCGGGATGGTGATGTCCATGTACACGCTGCTCAGGAACCATCCGGATCCCACTCTGGATCAGTTAACCGATGCCCTTGGTGGTAGGTTCTATGTGTGTGTGCTTTTAGTTTTAAACAATGATTGTGACACCGTCCACATGCCATAGTGGCATGAACACTCATAGTGGACACCGTCCACATGCCACATGGAATGCTATGTAAAGATGATCTCATTTACTCTTTGCAATAACTTTATATGTCAAGCAAATATTCCAGGTTACTGATGAAAAAACCTGCCTTTGTAAATTCGGTGGACTGAAATGTCAGCCAAATAGGGCTTCCTTCCAGGGTGGGGCCCTTATTTCCATCATGCACTTGGAATCTGTGCATCTCTCTAACCTTGAATAACAGAGCTGGGGTTTCTCCTTTAGGTAACCTGTGCCGTTGCACTGGATACAGGCCCATAATTGATGCATGCAAGACTTTCTGTAATGTGAGTAGAAAGAAACATATTATTGAGTATGTTTTTTTCCCCAGTGAAACAAAACACTAGGGGTTGTCAGGTGTGATTAGGAGAACAGCCATTTGTACTGATTCGGGGCTACTTCTTATCTCAGGGTCTGTGGTCGTTGTTTGTTACCTGACCTGGGGCAGGGCACTTGCCCTCACTCCCTGGGCTTGCGCTGGCAGGCACCGAATGAGCACTGAGGCACGTTGACACGGGCTGTGGGTCACCCTGCCCGTCAGACGCCCTGCCCCGCTGCTCTCGCAGCCCCCACCACCATGCAGAGCCTGCCACAGCGTCACTCATGCGGTGCTGGAACTGCCTGTCTGCCCTTCTGTCTGTTCATCAGGCCTCGGTCTGCTTGACGGGAGAAGCCATGTGTCTCCAGAGCTGGTCACCATTCACCGATTAAATAACCACTCAGTTAATGTTTGATGAATGAATAGATGGACAAACAACCTAGAAATGAGGGACATAGATTTCCCTTGGGAAGGTGAACTATGGAATCAGTACACCATAAACAAGAACAGAGTAATAATAATGCGTGTTAACATTTAGTATTAATAAAATACTAAATATCAATATTAAACATAAACCATTGTTAATATTTATTGCTGTGTGCCACACCTTGTTATAAGACCTTTAAATTATGGTGACAACAGTTAGTAATACGGTGCTGTGTACTCAAAATTTGCCGAGAGAATAGACCTTAGTGTTCTCCCCCAACCCCTGACACACACACACACACTCAATGGTAATTATGTGAGGTAATAAATGCGCTAATTAACCTGACTGTGGTGATTATTTAATAAAAACTATATATGTCAAATGACCACATTGTATACTTTAAATGTGTACAATTTTATTTATTAATGGTACTTCAATAAAGCTGAAAAATTCTTAGTAGAATCAGAATAAATTCTTGGTTACTTGTTTTTTCACCCACTAGACTTCTGGCTGCTGCCAAAGGAAAGAAAATGGGGTTTGCTGTTTGAACCAAGGGATGAATGGATTACCAGAAGTTGAGGAAGGAGATGAGGTCAGTGAAATACAAATTTTCTGTAAGGGTTTCTCAGGACATAATCAGAGACCCGCTGACTTAGGAAGAATAAAAGGTTGCCAATGTTAACTCTGAGGTGTGTCCCTTCTCCCATTCTCACTCCATCTCTGTCTCCCCCGTCCCCGCCCTGCCCACCAAAATACCCAATCCTGACAACTTCATTCCTCATCCCAGATATTACTCTTGTTCAAAGAACAGCCATCTGTAGGAGAGAAAACACATTTATACCTTAGTGTTTCTTAGTTTTTAAAAAAGCCTCCTTCAAGTCTTTTTCAAGGGCCAGAAGGAGCAAAGCGGAGATGTCAGGGAGATGCAAGAGCAGGTGGGCACTCGGGGAGATGTTCCCGTTCTCAGCTGGGCCTGGTGCTGCTGCCACCTGCTCTGCCTTCCCGGGCTCCAGAGAGAGTGTGGAGGGACCGCAGGGCGTTGAAGGCCCCCTGACATCCACACCGCTTGCTAAAGACCAGGTCTCTCAGGGCCCTCGACTTCGAGCCCAGAGATTACGGCTGGCCAGCTGCTTGCTTTTTGTCTGTCTCTGTGTGTCTCTGTTTTTCTGGCCTCATCCCACAAAGGATTTAAAGTACACTAGTTAGAGCTGACTGATGACAATAACTTTTGGTACTTTCTCTTTTTAAGACAAGTAAAAAACTTTTCTCAGAAGAAGAGTTTCTGCCATTGGATCCAACTCAGGAATTGATTTTTCCTCCTGAGCTAATGGTAAGTTAAGGCAAAGTTGCGTTCGCCTAGAGGAATCCGTGGTGAAATGGTAGGAAGTGTATTTGCTCACAGATCCTCTCAAAGGCTGATGGGCAAACAGGTAGTATCCACCCGTCATCCTTAGTTCAAGGTCAAGAGAGTTTGGGCCAGTGCAGAGTTGGGGGAGAAAGTGTGAAGGCACCTTGAGGAGGCAGGTGAATGTAAGGAGCAGCAGTTAGTAATCTGTACAAAATGTTAGGAAATGACATCACAACATTTGCAGGTTTAGACATGTTATCTACTGGAAGTAGAAAATGTATTCTTCTGCAGAATGTTTTAACAAAATTAAGCATGTTAAAATATTTTCGAACATTGAAATGAATTCCTTTGAGTTATCAAAGCACCAAAAAGAGGCATTGGGACAGTCCCCAGAAGGAGTAAAATACTGTCATATTTTTATTCTGATTCCTAGTGAACCTGTACTTTTAGGTCATTTTTATTTTATTTCTTAAAACATCTCTATTTCCTTTCTCTGTGCCTGCAAAGATAGAGCAAAAAGAGGTGAAAATATTGCCATAAAATAATCTCAAGTCTCTACTGGTTTTTCAATAGATAATGGCTGAGAAACAACCACAAAGGACCAGAGTTTTTGGTGGTGATAGAATGACCTGGATTTCCCCAGTGACCCTGAAGGACCTTCTAGAAGCTAAAGTCAAGTATCCCCAGGCCCCCGTCATCATGGGGAACACCTCTACAGGTATGCAGGACACCAAGGACCTTGTATGAGGAAACCTGGGAAAAGTGTGTTGGGGAAAAGAACCTCGTATGTGCAAGTCTCAGGAAAATCAGCCTGATTCCGCCTTGACTTCCTCAGCCCTGAGGGGAGACTGTCACAACTCCCATTACATAAGTCAGTTCCCACTGCCCCTAATTGGGGCAGTGCCAGAGCTGCCCCCAGGAGGCCTGCCTCACAACCAGTCAGGAGCAGCAGTTCAGTGACAGCTGCTGTCTTTCCCTGCAGAGACCCATTAGGGGCTCATATTTGAAATGTTCTTTGTTTTCTCTCTCACTGTATCTTAGTAGGCATCTTAGGTGTGTGCTGCAGTCATAGGGTCTTTCTATTATATCTGTTGTAAACTCAGTTTGACGGCCTGCTGCTTCGAAGAGTCTTCCCCAAAAGAATTTTGAGTATGCCACCAGTTGTCTTGGATTCATCAGCCAAGTTTTAAGGCTGACGGGTCCAAAGGGCCCCTCCGTGTAGTGAAAATCCGTCTGGCTGGTTCTTTGATGCATGCCTGGCTTAGCAACAACACACCAGTAGAAAGATACGCAGTTTCCATGTATTTAAAGACATCAGTAACAATTTCAAAGTTAACAAGGCAGTTATCCCCCTTTATCCTGATCTTCTTATTTTTTTCTAACCCTTCAGGGCCTGCAGTGAAGTTTAAAGGCGTCTTTCACGCAGTCGTCATTTCTCCTGACAGAATTGAAGAGCTGAATGTTGTGAACTACACATACAACGGTGAGTTCTCAAGGCCCCTGTTTTCTTAGTTAAAATGCAGTAATTTATCTTGTTTGCCCAGCAAATAACCAGAAAAAAGAATTATTCCTAATTACAATATACAGAGAGAGTCTCTTCTTATTAGAATGATAGTATTCTGGAGGAGGCTCAGGGAAGGATTCTCTGTAATTACATGAGATACTAATAATCTGAGTCATCAGATTTTTACTGAATAACTTTGTGCACCGTTCCAGAGAAATGTAACAACTAGTCAGGAAAGGGCACTGTGCTGAGTGCTGGACAGAAGATAAGCGTGACTAGAACACTGTCTTTGCTCTCCAGAAGCACCATAGTAAGCAAAGCAAGTTTATGCATTAAGCAGCTTCCAGACTGTTTTTTCCTTTTCATTCCGATAAGGAAATTGATGTAATGGCAATGATGAGAAGCAGTATAAATGTGAGGTTGGAGCCTGGTTCTGGAGCTTAATTCTTGTCTGTGTTACATACTAGCTGGAAAAACTTAAGTTTCTTAACTGAGCCTGTTTCTTAATCTGTGAAATAGAGCTAATAATTTCTCAAAAGCTTGTTAAGACTCAAGAAGATTCTGTGGATCATTGACTATAGTGCTGGACCCAGTGAGTGTTCGAAACATTTAGTCACCATCACAACATTCCCCCCAGCACCACTGCTGTCCCAGAACCCTCCCCACCAGCACCACCCCTGTCCCAGCACCCTCCACACCAGCACCACTCCTGTCCCAGCACCCTCCCCACCAGCACCACTCCTGTCCCAGCACCCTCCCCACCAGCGCCACTCCCACTGCCAGCACCTTCCCCACCAGCACCACTCCCATCCCAGCACCTTCCCCACCAGCACCACCCCCATTGCCAGCACCTTCCCCACCAGCACCACTGCCATCCCAGCACCCTCCCCACCAGCACCACCCCCATTGCCAGCACCTTCCCCACCAGTGCCACTCCCATCCCAGCACCCTTCCCCACCAGCACCACCCCCATTGCCAGCACCTTCCCCACCAGCACCACTGCCATTGCCAGCACCTTCATCACCACTAATGAGCAGGACAGCACAAATCCAGCATAAAGGTCCGGAATCTGTAACCTGAAAACGAATGCACATTTCCAGGTCAGCAGTGATCACATCATATTATTTACAAATGGTTTCATTTCAGGGCTGACCTTAGGTGCCGGCCTCAGCCTGGCACAGGTGAAGGACATCCTGGCTGATGCAGTCCTGAAGCTCCCGGAGGAGAAGACACAGACGTACCAGGCCCTCCTGAAGCACTTGCGCACTCTGGCTGGATCTCAGATTAGGAACATGGCTGTATGTATTTGATGACAGTAAACTTGGGTGTGTTGTTTGAAGACTGTCCCTAACAATCATAACATTTTCATTCTTTTGAAACAAGCAAAAAGAATGGTTCTCCAAAGCCTTGTTTGATTCTTACTTTATCTCTTGTGTTTTTATAATTACACAACTGGAGTGAAAATAACTCATTATTTTAAAAAGTCTTTAGGGGGCCACATCGTGAGCAGACACCTAGATTCCGATCTAAACCCCATCCTGGCTGTGGGCAACTGCACCCTCAACTTGCTCTCCAAGGGTGAGTGACAGCGCCCTCCTGAGGAGTGTTGAATCCGCTCCTTCCACCCTTTGTCTCTCTGGGGATTCAGGAAGTCCGGTTTTGAAAATGACTATTCTTTATAATGTCAATAATTCCCTTTGCCTTTCTGGATGCTGGAAAGTTGGTCAGTTTGGCCCTGATTCTATGCACTTCCAGTGTCTTCATCTCTCCCTTTCTGAGGACCAGGGCCAGGTATTTTCCCATACTGGTCACCTGACATTGACTGCACTTGGGTCGGTAGTGTCTGGATGTGATCCAGGCAGTGGACAGAACTAGAGGCTCTTGAGAACGACTGGGTCCTTTGTTGGTGACATTCCCCAGGCGGCCCAAGAGAGTACTGGCGCCCACATTGCGCAGTGTGCTCACACATAGTCTGTCACGGACAGACGCCTCCTGACCTTTTTCTGTTGTACGATGGTTAGTCTTATTTTATTGGTATTTACTTGAGCTTTGTTTTTGAAACTAAGTTCAGGACTTTTAATTTCTTTCTCTTTTAAAAGATTTTATTTATTTACTTTTAGAGAGAGGGGAAAGAGGGAGAAAGAGAGGGAAACATCAATACGTGGTTGCCCCTCACATACCCCTGCTGGACACTTGGCCTGCAACCCAGGCATGTGCCCAATTGGTAATCGAACCAGTGACTCTTTGGTTCACAGGGCAGCACTCAACCCACTGAGCTACACCAGCCAGGGCCTTTTAATTTATTTCTTATTCCACCTTGGTCAGCTTGGGAATGGGACAGTCTGTGCCTGCAGTGTCTCCCTGAGTTTGCAAAGTGTCCTTGAGCTGTGTCTAACCAGCCCCTATAAAATAAACGCGGAGCTCGTGTCAGGGCTCATTATCTCTCCGTCAGAGGACAGTGTCCCACCTGGTCCCCGCTTTTCCTTAAACTGTCTGTGTTGTGTCTTTTCTAATCTGTCGTCCCCACTCAGGTACCCCCAATCCACTCTGGTTGAGGCAATTAGGAAATTCTAATTGGTCCTCTATAAATCTGTGGAGTTTTTTTTTTTTAAATAGGGACTATCTTTCTATTATCTACACTATTAAATACGTACTCTTCATATCATCGAAAGCACAAAATTATCCTAAAGAGGAAGATTTTCATTCAGAAATACCAATTTATGTAGCATCCCTGCAAAGATCACATACTGAGAAAGAGGTTTGTGATGTGACTATAAAAATCAAAAGTTTCTTAGCTTTTCTCCCGAAGTCTTATTTCATTATAGCTTTAAACAGTTTCTCCCTCAAAAATATTGATTAAAGAACAGAAGTTCTTAAGGTGCTGGAAAAATACATAAACAAGATATCACCTCACTACTATAAAAATTCATTCAAGGCAATTGATCACTCATTGCCATACCTAGTAGGGGTCCCACTCATAAACACTAAGTGTTTGTTGAACGATTTGATTGGAGTATGAAAAGGGGTGTCGATACCATCTCCCTGTTTACAAAGCTCCCCATGCATTGTGCTGTTCAGGAAGAGGTCCTGTTCCGCCTGCCCTCTGGGCTACACGGCTAGATGTTTGTGTTTATAAGCCAAGAAAGAAAAAACAGAAGATGCCTTTATAGGGTCAAAGATTTGTTAAGCACAGGAAGAGCACTTCTTTTCCCCAACAGTCAGTTTCCTCAGGTGTTTGGTAGAATTATGTCCCAGGTCTGGGCCGTTTGACTGTTTGATGGTACAGGTTCCTGGAGGGTGTCATTTCTGTCCGCAGAAGGAGGACGACAGATTCCTTTAAATGAGCAGTTTCTCAGGAAGTGCCCCAGTGCAGATCTCAAGCCTGAAGAAATCTTGATCTCAGTGAACATCCCCTACTCCAGGAAGGTGAGCATGGTCCTTTCTTTTTTTTTTAATTATATGTTATTGATTATGCTGTTACAGTTGTCCCAGGCTTTCCCCCTTTGCCCTCCTCCACCAGCACCCCCACTCCCTCAGGCAGTCCCCACACCATTGCTCATGCCCATGGGTCCTGCGTGTAAGTTCTCTGGCCACTCCATTTCCTATACTGTACTTTACATCCCCATGGCTGTTTTGTAACTGCCTACCATATTTTGCCATGTATAATGTGCACCCACATTTTTGGCCCAAACTTTCAGGGAAAAAGATCTTTCATTTTAATTTTTTAATTCAATTACTTATTTATATTTAGATTCTTGGTTTTTGTATTAGAAAGAAATTTAAGCATTTATTTTTTAATGTACTATGGTACAAGAAATTTTATGTAACAAATAATTACAAAACACAAGAACAGATACAAGGTATTTCAGGTACTTCCCATGTATAATGCGCTTCCTGACTTTTCCCTCAAAAATTTGGGCAAAAATGTGTGTATTATGAACGATGAAATATGGTCCTTTTCTTTGTGTTATGCAGTCTTCTACCATTCCTGGAGTCAAGAAACCTTTGTCCCTGCCTCTCTCTCTCCTATTCTCTCCCCACCCCAAGTTCTAATGTTACTTTCTTAATTTTTTAATAACCTTTGTGACATGAGGCTTTCCCTGAGTAAGACTTGATGCATTATAGAATTGTGCACCTGAAATCTGTATAATTTTATTAACTACTGTCACCCCAATATATTTAATAAGAGAACAAATATATAAGCAAAAAAAAACCCCATGGAAATGTATTTCTACCTAAATCTTGGGGTTTGAAAGAAGCTACAAAAAATATATTCGCAAAAGAACATAGTGGGTGGGAAAGTGGAGTTAAACTCAAGATTGAATCCTGGTTTCAAGACCTACTGTGACCTTGGACTAATTACTGACTCACTCCAAGCCTTAGGTTCCTCGTCTATAAAAAGGGAATAATCAAGCCTGCCTTGGAGGGGTCACAGTTTGCTGGAGCTGCCATAACAAAGTGCCACAGAATGGGTGGCCTAAACAGCAGTCATTTTCGCACAGTTCTGGAGGCTGGAAATTGGCTATATGGGTGTCAACAGAGTTGGTTCCTTCTGAGGCCTCTCTCCTTGGCTTGTAGATGACCCTCTTCTCCCTGTGTTTTCACATAATCTTTCCTCAGTTTATGTATGTGTCTAAATTGCCTTTTCTCATGTGGGCACTACCATGTTAGGGCCAGTGTTTACCCTAATTACTGCATTTTAACTGGATTGTCTCTTTAAAGATCCTGTCTCCAAATGCAGTCACATTCTCAGGTACTGGGAGTTAGGGCTTAAAGGCATGAACTTTGAGAGGACACCCTTCAGCCCCCAACAGAGTGTGGCAAGGATTTGTGAGGCAGCATACATACACTGCCTAGAACACACATGCCCTGCCTGGAAGCGCAGGGTGTTTCTGCATGTGTCGGTTCCTTCTGCTTGCAGTGGGAATTTGTGTCAGCCTTCCGACAAGCCCAGAGGCAACAGAATGCGCTTGCGATTGTCAATTCAGGAATGAGAGTCTTTTTTGGAGAAGGGAGTGGCACCGTTAGAGAGTTATCTATCTCGTATGGAGGTGTTGGTCCAACCACCATCTGTGCAAAGAATTCCTGCCAGAAGCTCATCGGAAGGTATGGCATCATGTCCATAGACTCCAAGTGACAGAACTGCTTTTTTTTGATGATGTGCAATTACAAAAGGAAAAATGCGTAGTATCTTTTTATTTAATGGTATGGAATCCCAGTAAGATTTTATAATTATTTGCACATGTCTTGATTTTACTGAATTCTGAAGTGGGAATTGTGTAGTCTGTACATGAGAAAGAGAGAGAGAGAAAGGGAGGGGTATACCTCAATAGCACATGGATACAGTAAGCAAGATGAGTACATTTACATTATTTGTTGAGAGAATAATTTACCATAATGAAAAACAGATTGGGGGAGTTTGCTTTATCATAAATAGTTAAATGCATTTGCTTACCCATTGTTTAATATCTGTAGGCAATCCTAACAGCCAATATTTCTTGAATACTTATTAGATATCAGTTACCATTTCCTAAGGAGTAGAGAGTAATAGTTAAAAACACGAGCTCAATTGAGCCAAAAGGCTTGGGTCAAAATCTCAGTTCAGCCCCTACTGATTATGTGATCTCAGTCCTTAGTTAACCCTACAATAGCTCAGTTTCCTCATCTGTCAAAAGGGACAATCATCTCCACCAAGAAGACAGTTGTGAAAATTAAATAAATGAATACATTTAAGGAGCTTAGAACAAAAACCTGTCTTGCAGTAAACATTCTAGTGACATAGGGTTCTTTTTTCCTTGGGCTAAGGACGTGACACAGTTTGTCATTTCTTTCTCATGACCATTGCACAAGTTGAGTTCTACTATCATTTCCCTTTTACAGATGAGGAAGAGGAAGGCCTGGGCTAGGGACCTGAGAGGTGTAGACTGTGCTTTGCATGTGGGTTGCCGACTTGGATGCTTGTACTCTTATTTCATGCATTAGGTTGTAGCTATTTGTCTTCAACACTCAATGAGCCTGCGGGGTAATGAGTCCTGTCAGGCAAGGAGTCTTCTTTTTGAACCCTCACAGGCCCTGGAATGAAGAGATGCTGGACGCAGCTTGCAGGCTGGTTCTGGAGGAAGTCTTCCTACCAGGTTCAGCTCCAGGTGGGAAGGTGGAGTTCAAGAGGACTCTTATCGTCAGCTTCCTCTTCAAGTTCTACCTGGAAGTGTCACAGATTTTAAAGAGAATGGTAAGTGGAAGTGACGCTGTATTCACTTTTCCTGGATTAGGGGCCATGGTGATACCCAAAGTGGAGGCAGCAACTCCCCGCTGAACAGCAGTAGAACAGCAAAGAAAGCCCAAATTAGAAACACTCAGGCTTGCTGGGAACACTTGGGGCTGTCTGTGGATGGCTTGGAAGCTTGGGCAGGGGTCGCAAGTGGAGCACAGAGCTGTGCAGGAGTTTGCTCAGCATGACTCAGGTATTTTGTTTCTGATCTGTTGTTTGTCCAGGTGGTGTGCAGAAAACTCGTTAATGATTTGAATCTATTTTCCCTCACTAAAGTACTTCTTCTACTTGTTGAGGGCCACCTTTGTGCATTTGGCTTTCTTCTCTGGTTCAGCTTTGTTTCTCTCACTTGTAAGATGATGATGATGGCAGCCATTCCACAACGTTATTGTAAAATGGGCCATCATAGGGAAAGGGCTTCGTACGGTGCCTAGGGCTTTAGAGGAACATGGTGAAGGCTGCCTAGAGACTCGGCAGTAGTGGTAATCAAGTAGTCACCCAGGCATTCTCTTGCCTGGTCTCCCTTTTGACAATCTTAGTTACACGATTGTTGGCTTGGGAGGACACAAGCAAAAGAATTTCTCTGAATAAATCTGCTGGACCCAAAGGGAACTTGAACCATATTAGCCTCATTAATCCCATGCTACCACCAACTGAGTAAAGGCCAGGAATGTTCTTAATGTGGTATAGAAATTAGTGGTATGATCACTTTAAATAAGAGGAACAAAGCTCTCTCTTATCATTGCTTCTGTGGGTTTCTTCTCATTATACATGGGAACAATTTAGAACCAAAACAGTCCTATCAAATTTTTGAGAACAAAAGCTTGATATCACATGAAAGTGACATATTATCACCACCAGGTAATCACAAGAGAAAAAATAAAGCCAACTGTAGACTACTCCAATTAACAGCAAACTAATATAATCTCCTGGGTGAACGAAGTGATGTAATTTAAAGATTCTTGGCTTGTAATCTCATACTTTCAATTCAGTTTCCTCAATTCAGTAAAGATCTTGCTGACTTTAATTTTTTTATTTAAAATTCTTAACAAAAAATAACCATGAGGTATATTGTTTAAATCCTTGGATAAAGACCAAACTGACCTATTTCCCTTAGTTCTAAGAAGCGTTCTTCCTGGGACCCCAGATGCTGTGGCTGGGGGGAAGCAGTGTCTGCGTTTTCCTTTCTCTCCAGGTGGCCTGGGGGTGCCCAGCAGTTTCGTGCGCATGCCCAATGGGGTGCTTTGGCTCTGACTTTTTCCTGGCTTAAGCATCCTATCCCTTTTCATTTTATTTATTTAGCTTCTATCTTCCTGTTTTATCAGTTTCTGAGTCCTCAGATCATTTAGGACTTACATGTGAGAGAACCGTAAGAAGCAGAGATGTCTCTTCCTAGTGTGTGGACCTCCCAGAGCACGTGCCCTGGAGCTGGGGGAGCTGCTGCACCTCCGGGGTTCTGAAGCGGGCCAGTCCTTAATAAATGTTAGTTCCAGGTTAGGGCTGCTGGTTAAGAACCGCGCCAGCTTCCCTTCCAAGACCACTTGGGCACATTTAAATATCTACAATGGTTCTACTTTTTAGGACCCCATTCACTATCCTAGCCTGGAAGACAAGTATGAGAGTGCTTTAGAAGACCTTTATTCTAGACATCGCTGGAGTGCAGTTAACTACCAGGTCAGTGGCATTTTTAATTCAAGGGACCAGGCCGTGACCCCTTCACTCAGCCATCCCCACTGACCCCTCGGATGGTCAAGCTTTGTAAGCCTGAGCTCCCCTTCTGGTGAACTCACAGTCTAAAATTTCAAAATCCAGGAATCACTGTGACTGAAAACCTAGCTACCGATGGTAATTTTTTTAAAAGTCTGTTTTGATCTTGAAGGCTGTGTGTCTGGTTCTGTGGCCTCACGCTGTGGGTGCGAAGGAGCTGGCTGGCTTACCACCGGCGTCTGCCCTCGGCCACCGGGAAGTCGGAGAGCAGCCACAGTCCCATTCTGTGTCAGGGCCACGGGGCTGCTTTGCTTTGCTTTTCAGAGGAGCAGAGAAAACAAGCCCTGGAAGGTGATGAAATGAAGTAATGCTTTTTTCAAAGAGCTGCTAATTTATTTTGTTTGGATATGACTATACTTTTTTCCCCTCCATCCTCACTCACCTAGTGGTTTTTCTGTGAGTTGCACTTTAGAGTTGGATCAAACATGGTTCTAAGAGCTATTTGGAGCTCTCCCAACGAAAGCTGGCTATCAGAGAGAACAGAATTCTCATAACTTTCAAATAGAATTTTCTGCCACATCATAAAAGTATCACCTGAAGTCATCCTATTGGTGAACTGGATAAGATTCAATGTGGTTTTCCTTGAAATTATTTTTAACAAAGTTTACCTGGAGGGTTTTGTTAAGTCAAGAACGCTGAATATGTGGTTGGACTTCGTTACAAAAGCTTACGGTATGCTGTAATGGACATTGAAGTCGTCCTATACCCTTCAGGTTTCAGGTTTAATACATTCAAAAATTCAAACACACCAAACTCCACTGAAAGTGGTTATTCTGACTGTTCAAAACAGCTGCCATCTTCCCTGGTGTTCTGCAAAATATGGCAGCTGCAATCTTTGGCTTATAAATGCCTAACCCCGGCAATGGAGTGAACTTTAGAAAAGAATCACAATAAATGAATGGGCATTCAAATCATTCAAAGAAAAGTGATAATTTTCATGTAGCTGATAACCTGAAAAGGGACCTTGCTATTCTGGATTGCAAGACGAGGTTTGGAAGTGGTGTATCTTCCACACTGCTGAAGTCTGTTTCTGTTTTTCCTGTGGCTTTCCACACACACAAATACCCACGTCCCCAGGGCAGCGTCAGCACTCACGATGAGCGTTTTCTCCCCACGTCAGTTCATTTGCTTTGGAAGCAGTCTGACGAGCTTCGAGAGATCAGCAGTTTGAGGGGACAGCATTCCTCCTTCCCACACTTCTCTAGCCACAGAACAAGCAGCAGCAAGTATCAAGTACAACCTCTTTCACCAGGAGATTCATCATAGCCGACACCAAAAATACAGTGTGATGCCTTCCGCGGAGATCAAGTTTGTATTTGATTATAGACGAGGGCAAAGATATACTTTGGGATATTTCTTCAATCTTTTGGCAGGCCACACACAACAAGGTTTCAAAGTCTTTTTTTTTCAATGCTATATGTTTTATTATTTAGAGTAAAGTGCATTATATCACAGGAAAGTCCCAGGGTCTCTACAGATACCTACAGATGTGTTTCTTTAGTATCTAAGCTTATGAACTACCTGGAATTTTGCTCTTCAGGAAAGAAAAATCTTCTAGAATTGAAAAAAAAAAGGTGTGGGTGATCTTTCACACGAATGTTGTTCAAGTTCACAGCCCAGCACAGCCTCACAGTGTAGCACTTGGAGGCCGCCTTACGGAGGGAGTCGATCCCCACTCTCCGAACATGAAAACCGTAACTGACAGAGCACTCACACAGTTTTGTTCTCTTGATCACCATCTCAGCTCCCCAAAGGGGAGCAGGAAGAGGCTGCTGAGAGCACTGGGTCAGGAGGAAGCGCCACGAGCTGTGTCGGCGGGGCTGGTGTGTGCTGGGCTGCTTCAAAGCCCTCGTCGTGCCTCAGTCCCAATATGAAAAGTTTTCTTTTCTTTCCTCTATCCACCTACATGGCCCCAGGCCTACCTTTATTTAATGGTGCTTGGGCCAAGGCCTAAATTATTTTTCTTGATAATCTTTTGCTTTCTATCTTTTAAAGTCAGGATGACCACAACAACAACCAAAACCAAAACCTTAGCCAATATTATTTTTTGTGCATTGTATTATAGTCACTACAAAATTAAAGTTTACATTTAAATGAAACAAACACAGATATTAAAACAATAAATGCTTATCAGTGAGTACATATCTTAACTATAAAACAGTAAATTTTATATGAAATAGGGATAAATTCAGAGCATCCTACATGTGTCTTATGCCAATTGAATTTTGAAAATGACTCTACTTTTCATGTATAATTGTCCGCCAAAACATGACTGGTGTTTTATCTTTGTCATTTGTATTATGAAAGCAATAGGTTTTTTTCCTCCCCATTTTCCAAATAACCAATAAGAATGCTGAACATGTTTTCACATTACACATGCCACTCTCCTCTTCCCTCCTGCTGATCCATCTCAAGATGCAGGTTTATTTTCTGCCTCCCTCAGGCAGGTGGGCGGTGAGCAAGGACCCCTCCTCTGGAGGCCCGTGAGTGGCAAGAGGGCACTGGAGAAGTGTGTTTTCCACAGTTATCGTTACGCAAAGTTCCCATCATAGGCATGATGGCACTCTTCCATTCATAGTGTTTGTTCAATTAAATCCAGATGTTCAGAAAGGAGAAGAAAGAAAAAAACATCAGTGGGATCCTGGACAGCTAGGGTCTTCTCTTCACTTCCAGAGCCTCAGAGAGCTTTTGTTGGATCCAAGATGGCTTTGACTCTGGAAAGTCAGCTATGATTGAAATGCCGTTTTAGGTGGACTCAAATGTCTTATTTATTGTCAATATGTACTGCGTATGTTTTTCAACCTGCACAGTCTAGTAATCAAATACAAAAGTATTTAACTTCCCCCCCTCAGATGCCTTAAATGACACTGCATTGGAAATGGGTCAGCTTCCATGGCTCCTTTTTCCCTGGTAACAGTTTAGGCAGTGCGTGTTCTGTCAGTGATGTGCTCTCTCTCCCCTCCTGCCCTATGACGTGGCCGGTGCTGTGAGGCTCATCTCAGAGAAAGAGTCCCTGCCTCACCCAGGGCCCGAGTGTCCTACACTTCAGTGTGGGACAACAGAGGGGGTGAGAAGGGGAGACCTTCCAGGGCCCGTTCCAGGCCTCACCCTGACCCACCTACTGCATTCCCTTTACCCCCAGGTCTGCCGGAGAAAGCCCTGGGAGTTTGGCCTCAGCCCTAGTTCCAAGTACAATGCTGGCGCAGCCAGTTGTGGCTGGGCCTGCCCAGCACAGCATAGCAGGCAGCTCCTCAAGCGGAGCCCTAGACCCAGAGCCGCCCTCTCCCTTTAAGGAGTGGTCACTTGGTTTGCAATTTTCCCAGAATTTCCACCTCCTGTGCTCCCATCACCAGCCTCCTTAGCTGGCACAGCCTTCACCTCGGTCTCTAAGCTTGGCCTGTGTCACGTCTCTTAACTCCTTCTTTGTTTATAGCTCCAATTCTCTCCCCCCAATAACCAACTGACTAGGAAAGCTGAAATACAGGAGGGACCTTTCTTCTTTAGTTAATGAAACAAATTTAAGGTACTTACAGAACCAGTAGCAAGACGCTTGACACCACAGGTCTGTAAGAAAGAGTAGCATTAGTTACTCATCACCACACATGCATCTTCCTTTGGCTTCATTCAGAAGCGACTGAGTCATGAGCTTTAACAATTACTTCTTAGGCTTTTTCACTCAAAATAGGAGGAAAAGGGCTCTTCTGATTGAAGACACAACCTCAACATTTTCTGTAAACACAGTCATGATGTCATTGTGCTCTCCTGCAAAATATATGCACCATGCTTAGATACAAGCAGTAAAGTAATTTTGATAGTGACAATTAAGGAAATACATAAGCATTAGCATTAATTGACATAATTTTACAGTACCAGGAAGGGAGATTTATATTCATTTACTTATACAGATAGTATTAGAGATGTGTGTGGTCTATAGTCAAGAAGGTGAAGGTGGGAAAGAGCAACATTGTGGCTATACAGCCTTCCAAGTTTCCCTGTTGAATTATTGAAATAAGCTTATGGTCCTGTTAATAGTGATACTTTTCATTTTCAGAAGTGTTCTGGTCTAGGTGTAAATTACATAGCTACCAGCTTATAGGAGATGCTTATGATTATAAAAATGATATGTTGGTTATTGATTAAACAGAACGTAGACCCAAAGCAGCTTCCTCAAGACCCAATTGGCCATCCCATCATGCACCTGTCTGGTATTAAGCATGCCACGGGCGAAGCCATCTACTGTGATGACATGCCCGCTGTGGATAGAGAACTGTTCTTGGCTACTGTAACAAGTTCAAGAGCTCACGCTAAGATTGTGTAAGTGATAAAGTTCTTACCTGATAGACATCAATGAGTGCCTTTTCCTCTAAGTCACATTTGTGGAAAGTAATGGAATGAGCAGGGTGAGCTATTTGTCGCTGACATTCAATGCAGATTGGAGGTGAAATGGGGTTGAAATGTAGGATTTAATACAGTTTGTCCCTCCATCTATTAACTTCATTGTCTCAGAGCCTTTCCCCAGTTGTCTGGTAGAGAAGTTATCTCACCTCCCTCCTGTCTTACTCTCCGATTGGGCCCGTCCCCTCGCACGCAGGGCTGCGGGCTGCTCTGAGGGCCCTGCTCTGCATGCCCCATCCAGGTCTATCGATCTGTCAGAAGCGCTCAGCCTGCCAGGCGTGGTGGACGTCGTGACGGAGGAACATCTTGAAGGCGTGAACTCCTTCTGCTTCTTGACCAAACCTGAGAAACTTCTGGGGTCGGAGGAGGTACCGCATTTTTCCTCTCTGTTTTAATAATAACTTCCACTATAATGGCACTGGCAGATTTTCTTAAAGAAAGCATCACATTTGGCACGTCACAAAGGATTCTGTTATTTTTTGAGTGCTTATTATAAAACACTTTATTCTAACAGTGAACAAATTCAAATATATTGATTTTCCACATAAGTAAAAAAAAGTTGACCAGTTATATAAAAGGTACTTTGGTGTTTATATTTTTCTAGTAGTAAGGTAGTATGCTGCCAACAAGTATGAAAGAACATATGCAGAGAGAACAGTGGTCATTTTTATTTGCTAATCTCTCTTCTGAGAATCTCTTGCCATTGCCCCAGCCAGTGGGCCCCAAGTCCAAGTCCAAGTTCAAGTGGTATCTTCCTCATGCAGCCTTTCCTTACCCTTTAGTCCAGGAGTTATTTCTCCCTCTCTGAACTCACCTTTACTCATCCACTCATATTGCCACATATTTAACAGGCATTTTTTTTACATTGGATTATTTATGTATGTCCTTGTGCATGGACATAACATTGTGCAAAGTAAGTTAAACCAATGTGACTCCTGCCCTCAGAAATGCACAAATATGAAAAAAAACAGGGGTATATACATTTTCCCAGAATCCATACTTTGACAAAAGCACAAGCCGGGAACACACTGATCAAATATTTATAGGACACCTAAGCATTACAGTTAATAATTTTTATGCTAAGGCTCAGAGATCCGCAATAATCAGTAACCTCTGTAAGCAAATGTATCAGTCATGTTAATAGATTAATTATACATGAAATCTCTGATAAAAATACATGTGTATACAGTTATGACTATGTTAGTTATATATTTAAAAGGAAGAGACGAGGGGTTCCTGGAAGACCCCAGAATGGATGGCGTTCATATGCCTCGTAGTGATTGATTATTGGTCTGACATCTGGCCATGTTCCGTCACCATGTCCGTACGTCCTGTGCCCTCGTGGGCAGGAAACATTTCAGGATCAATCGCCAGCCACTCTTTGCAGGTTCTTCCCTCAGTCTATGCATCCTGGGGTTGCTCTCAGTTATCCCCACTCTCATTTACTAGGATTCAGCTCTGTCTTGGTCCCTTAATTGTCATTTTTGTGGGTAGGGCAGGAAAACAGACCCATCCTGGGTGCTAATGTGCAACACTGAGCCCGGCTTCTTCAGCATGAGCTCCGGCAGAGGTAGGGGGCTAGGGCTGATCTCTTGCCTGTTCCAGGAGACTGCAAACCGTTCTGTCAGCAGAAGGCAACGAATGCACACAGCCTCAGGTCTGGAGGCTGCAAGAGCACAGCTGAATCCAGCCTTTCTTTGCTCATTCATGTGGCAAATTGGCTCCTCCTTCAAGTTTAAGTTCAACATCAACAGGCACTTTTTAAGTGAGCACCTACTGTGACTGCTCACTGTAGCTGAACAAGACCTGTGTGGTCCTTGCCCTCACAGAGCTTAAAGTCTAGAGGAGAAGGCAAAGAGGGCCTTTAATGAACTTTCTACCTTGTAGCAAGCTTATTTATTTATATCTATGACTTATATATTTCCCCTACCTGGTAAAAGTCCTCGAATGAGGCCCCACATCTGATTCACCTGTATTTTCCACACATTGCTCCCCATGTAGTAGGGTAAATGAGTAGATGAACAATGCTAGCATTGTTGCTATTTGAAAGTTTCAAATGATCAAAACTTTGGTTTGGCTACTGTATCCTTAGTTATCAGAAAATACAGCAAAGGCATTGCAGCAGGTTTTGTGCAGAACTCAAGCGTCTCAGTTTAGTGTTCACCCAAAAGAGCTTCGTCATTTGAAACAGCCCCTCCCTCCTCTGGCTCTTGCTGGCAGACTTCGTTGGTAAATATAACAGTTCAGTGACTGAGAGTCTCAAGTCAAGGTTGGAACTCTTCCACGTCCTCATAATATGGCCGTGGTGGAAGACAGTGAGAATTGTGGCCTTTGCATAAATGTTAACCAAACAAGGAAAACCATTCCAGCCTGCATGATGGTGCCCGCTCTTTGAGGTGTGGGTGTGCTGAGTACAAGCCTCTGGGGGCATGGGTCATACCCGTGTGCCAGGTCACAGAGGCAAAGCCAGGCGTCGACGCAGAGCAGAGAACAGCGCTGTTGTAAGTGACTGCCCTTGTCAGCCTTGTTCTTTTTCAAACATTAGCCTGAAGCACGTCATGCCCTTTTAAATTCTTTCCACTGTAGACATTTCAAACACACACACAAGTAGAGATTCAACCGTTATCAACATTTTGCTATTCTTGTTTCATTTTTCTCCTCACGGCCCCCACCCTCCTGTACCCAATAAATACACTGTGTGTGTGTGTGTGTGTGTGTGTGTGTGTGTGTGTGTGTGTGTGTTCTGGATTTAACATTTGTAGTCGTGGCCATGGTATAAGTTAGGAGAGAGAACAAAACAACCATGGTTATTCTTCCAGTCCTGAGTATTTCACCTTTCTGCAGCCTTGATTTTGTGTTGTTTTCCACCAACTTGGTGCCCTGGTCCCTGTGTCAGCTCCTCAGGCAGCTTCCCCCTCCCCACCTACAGGTGAAATGATGAACATTCTGTGCTTGGTGTGCCTTGGCTGGTCCTGTCTCATGTCTCTTCCTAAAAAGCCTGTGTTCGACCACAGTCAGGGCAGAGACTTGGTCTCCAGCACTGCTGCATTATCACTCTCTCTCTCTCTCCTTCCTCTCTGGCTGAGACAGGTGGTAACCTGGTCCTCCCTGTCTGTGAAGGCAAAAACCACTCTCCGAATGGCCCTGATCATGGTATGGCAGGCACAGACCAAGCCGAGGACTGGCTGTCGTAGGCCAGCTGACCTTTGAGCAGCTCTGCAGGCTGGGCTTGGATGGGGCCCAAGTCTGCTGTCCAGGAGGCAGCGCCACTCTTGTCCCCTTCAGCTACCACTGCCAATGATGCAGCAAAAAAATGTGCCTGGGGGCAGCAGGCCAACTCTGACACATGCACGATCCTACCAGAGCCTTTGGTAGCCACTGCGCTGCGGTTAGGACACGTGCGAAGGGGTCATTTACTGCGTGCCTAGCTCTGTGCTAGGAGGAAGGAGAAAAGTGAATGGGAGGAGAGGACCAGGTGTCTGCGCTTCTTGAAAACAAACGTCTTTTCTGTGTTGTAGGTATTTTGGGTGGGTCAGATTGTCTGTGCCGTGATTGCGGAGTCTGAGGTTCAGGCAAGGAGAGCTGCGAAGCTAGTGAAGATTGTCTACCAAGATTTGGAGCCCGTGATCCTAACCATTGAGGTAATGGGTTCAAGGGTGGGGCCCAGAAGAGCAGATTTCAGTGGTACACAGTAAAAATGCTTTTGGCTTCAGTAGCAGGAAAGAAAACATGACTCAAAGTGGCTTCCAAACCACGGGCCTTATTGGCCCCAAACTACAGGGTCTGGCAGAAGTACGTCCTGCTTGAGTGTGGTTGGTAGGGTAATAATATGGGGGTAATAATTTATAGTTTTAATTTGAACACTTCACCTAAAATGTCATTTGGTGTGCTTGAGTGTGATATTGTTAGGTTACAGCATCACATGCTTATGATTTTGCAATAAAAGATTTTGTGATTAAAAAAAAGGTGTTCTTTGTGCCGGGCCCTGTGTATCAGTATCAGCAAGAAAGCTGATCCTCTGCCTCTTCTCCCTGCAGCTGCCCACAGTGCAGGCTTTGTCTGCTGTGGATGCAGGATGACAGCTGGGAGCTTCCGGCTCATATCCCAGGAGCAAAAGAGAGCACCATTGTCCCAACATTCCATGAGTCCCCAAATCCAGCCTCATCGGGACACTCAGTCCCATATCCACCTCTGACTTAGTGACTCTCCAGAGGAATGGAGGAGCTGCTGTTACTCCCAGGGGGTCAGAGTTCTTTGAGGTGCCTGGGCTGCCCGGGGGAGTGGTGGAGCCCAAAACAGAAAGCAGAGTGCTGTCGGGAAGAGGACGGGTGAGAGGAATGCTGGGTGGACAACCAACAGCGTCCCGGAGAGGACACGCACCCTGTGACTCTGTGCAGCAGCTCCTTGGAAACCACTGTTTCATTCAACATTGTTTTGTGATAATGTTGAGGAGGTGCCTTAGAAATGTAACTTGTTTCCATCATCGCTTAACCTACAGCCAACTTGGTTTAGTTATACCTCATTTTGTCACAGTTCTGAGAACCTGTCAGTGTTCAGTGAGGACTTACTGTATTCACCTTCGCCCCGGGCACACAGTCAGAGCCAACAAGATGCTCTAGGAAGCAGACACTGGGGACACTATTTTTAGATCCGTTCATGTACATCTTCAATTAGTATGAGAAATAGATCCTGTGATGCCTACAGATATTTTGGCAACTTAAACAAATTGGAGAATTGCACTTTCTATCCTGCTTTTTAGAAGGGAGTTTGAAATTTAAAAAGGTTTTAAGATTTATCTCCATGTAATGATACAGTGTTCTGCATACATTCATTGGTTCTTATAATTCACTAAGCAATAAAAGCATGGAAGTTGGGGAAGCAGCAGGAGCAGATTGGATTCAGCGCATGCAGACCCTGTGGACTCTGGGAATATGATTCTGTCTTCCCAGTGTAAGGGATAACCTGTGCAGTAGGGGCTACCACGCCCTGAGGCAGAACACGAAGAAATGACTCGGCCAAGATTAGTGTCTCCAGCAAAATTCGGCCTTGAGTGTGTTTCCTACCATGCTGATTTATGCCTACGAGCTCAGGGTTTGTTTCCCCACAACGTCCTCCAGGTTTTAAAATTAAAAGAAAATCATGTAAAGAAAACAAACACATAGAAGTTTAAATGAAGTCAAAGAGTGACTGGGCCTTCTAAAGCTCCCTGGCCACTTTCAAATTCAAACCCATTGTTTCCTTCTCAGGCCCCTTGGCTCAGAGGCTGCCTGCTCTCCTTCCTTAGTTTAATATATTCCTTCCCCAGCATTTGGTTTTAGAGTTAGAATACTTCTTCATGAGAAATTATTTACACGATGCTTCATCAAAAATTTTGCTTGTCATCCTTGGCCCAATACCAGTGGCTTACTGTCTTCCCTCCACCTTCCAGCCAAATAAAATTCCAAATTAACAAATAGATACTACCCTCCTTCTGTCCTCCCCAGCTCTAATCAGCAGGCCTTCAGTTGTCTGCCAGGCAGGCATACCAGCATCAACTCCTGCACTTCCACATTGTGGAGCAGAGCTGCCTCCTGTTTTTGTCAGAGGTTAAGCTCTCCAGGGTCAATCTACTAGATTGGAGTGAATTTAATCAAAGTCATTTGTAACAGGGAAATATGCCCAGCTCCCTACACAGTAAAGTTCTTTTTATCACTTTCCTAGCCAGAAAATATTCAAGAAATTGACTCAAAGTTACTCGAAGAGCAAGCAGCAGTGACGTAAAAAGAAAGATTAAACTTTTAAAAGTAGGATTTTTAAAACTTCTGTTTCCAACCTGGAATATCTGAGTCTTAGATTAATAACAAAATTGCATAAATTGATTCCAGTGGAAAAGTGTGTTATCAATCAAAATAGGATAAAAACAAATGTATTTCTGTCACTAATCTCCAAGTTTTAACCAAGCTTATGCTTTTTAGAGTTTTTAATAGTTTGAACTGAAAAACTCTTGGCTGAAAGGGTCAGGCTAGTGATCATGGTGAGAAAAACATATGCTTTTGACCAGAATGTCTCATCAGCCATCCTGGCCAACAACAATAGCTAATTTGCACATAGAGCTCACTACGTAGTCACGTAGTCCTAAGCAGGTTTCCTACATGAACTCACTAAAGGCTCACAACAATCCTATGAGATTAAAACTGTTATTATCCCCATTTTGATGAGGAAACTAAACCACAAGTTTGTCAGTGAAAAAGAAGCAGTCAACAAACACTATCAGAGAACCTGGGCCCACAGTGGTAAAAACAAATCAGCCCCTTTCCAGTGGAGGAAATGCCAGGATCACAATAGGCCACCCTCTCAGCTGTGTTGATAGATGCGTACTGGTGTGACTGTAGGGACCCAGAGTTAGGAGAATCCCCAAGTGCCAGCAGGTTGGAATTCCGTGGGTGGGCAATCATCCATGGCAGGGAATGGCATGTCACACTGTCCAGCTGACACAGGGATGACAGCAAGATAAATTCCTAAGGATTTGTGAGAAAGACACCCTAGATTATTACAGCTGCATCCCAGGCTATGGGTCCCCACGACAGTACCCCTTCCCTGGGCACCCAGGGGAAGCCAGTAAGAACCAGTGTATAAGTGGGTTTGTGGTACCCATGCTGCACTTGTAAGGGAATCTTTCTTTCAGAGCTGAAGGTTCCAGGTGCTCTACTGCCCTGTGCAAATGCTGTGCTCATCTCTCCAAAGGAGGAGCACGGGGCTGGCAGGCAGGGCTGCTGTGATCCTTGTGATCAGAGTGTCTACAGCTAGCACTGACCGAGCACTGATTATATGCCATGTAAGCTCTTTACTCGCCCCGCTTCATTGTATCCTCTCCACCCCGCTTGGAGCTCTGTGCACAACCACACCTCCATTTTGACTGAGGGGGCTCAGAGAGGGGAAGTAATAGACCCACAGTCAACAGCCAGTAAATGGAAAAAATAGACACAACTCCAACTGGGTCCAGAGCCGCTAGCCTTGGCTGCAAAAATGGGTTGTACCCTGAAGAGAAAAATCTGCCTGGAAGATACTAGTTCCATTCTGGGACCAGGTAGGTATCAGGTTTTTTTCTGAGCATACTCTCTTCCTTTGGACTAAATGAGGACTTTTGCATTTGCTCTGTGGGCAGTCTCTCTGAAGCCTGGTCCGCAGGGCAGCTCTGCAGGCGTGCTGGACGTGCTTGGGGCACCAGAGCCGGAGGACAGGTGCTGCCCAGACTCAGACGATGCCACTGCTTGTGTCTGCTGCCCAGGTGACCTCACTCTTCTGTTCTCTTTCTAGGAAGCTATCCAACACAACTCCTTCTTCGAGCCAGAAAGGAAACTGGAATATGGAAATGTTGATGAAGCATTTAAAGTGGTTGATCAAATTATTGAAGGTAAAACTACCTGAAAAAAAAATGACGACAAGGGAACCCACCCCGAAAGCCTTCTAAGCACGTCTCCATTAATGTTGCTCCTCAGGAACAGGCACCTCAAGCCCAAATGCATCTCCCTCAGTGTGTGTGTGTGTGTGTGTGTGTGTGTGTGTGTGTGTGTGTGGCACAGCAGGGAGGCACCGTGGGAGGCCTTGGCCATGGCAGTTGCCATTAGTGACCACGTGCTCTGAAAGGAAATTAGAATGTGGAAATGTTGATGAAGCATTTAAAGTGGTTGATCAAATTACTGAAGATAAAACTACCTGGGAAAAAGTGGTGAAAGGGAAGCAGTTGTGGCCGTAGTTGTTATATAAATGTTTTCTCTTTTTCTGTTCACATCCACGTTGCAGGTGGGGAATCGGGGCGCAGACTGATTAGGGAACGTGGCCACAGTCCTGCACCAGCCACTAAGCGACAAAGCTGGTTGTGGAAATAATGGCTTTTTAAAAAAATGGCGTCAGAAGCCCCTGTTTCTCTTTAATCCTTTCTCTGATTTCTCCCTCCCTCCCTTCCTCTCTCCTTCCTTTGCTCCCTCCCCCTCTCCTTCTGTCCCTTCTCTCCAGACTTCCTTCCAGCACATACACAGGCACATCTCAGAGGTACTGTGGCTTTGGTCGCAGACCACTGCATTGAAGTGAGTTGTCATCTTTTTGCTGGTGGAGGGTCTCACCTTCACTAGGCCTGCGTATGGATAAAATAACACTGATCTCAAAGATCCATTATGAAGATTATAAGAGATAATAATGTGTGCTTGGCTCACAGTAAGAGACCCCGAAGTATAAGCAATAATTATTATTAGGTTAATGTGTTTTTGTTGTTCTCCTCTAGAAAAGGTTGCCAGTTATTGAGCTAACACGCTGGCAGGCGTGCATTTATCAGAGCCAGTGGCTCCCGGTTTCTCTCACTGTAAGATGTGTGTGAACCCCCCCTGGAGAGTCCTGTGCCCCATTCTTGGGATTCTGGAGTTAGAGGATCCAGGGTACCCCAGAAATCTGCTATCTTGACCAGTTTTAACAGTGCTCAGGGTGATTCTTAGGAATAAAATGTGGCAAACACTCGAAGGGTGAGTTTGTTTTGGGGGGAAGAAGAGGGAGCATGTTTAGCATAGAGAGTCCATGGTGTGAACATCCTGGAAGTACCAGTGTTTAGGGGTGCTCCTCCACTGGTGCCACAATATGTTTTTGTGTAAGGATTTAATTCTTGTGCTTTCCCTGCCATCTTCTTTCATTGTTTAATTCAATGTGATAATTTATTCAGTCTGTCTTTTACTTGAATTTTAACTTGATACCTGCATCATACCCTGTTAACAAGTATAAAAATGACACGGGAAGGTTTAAAGGGACTTTTAAGTTTTCATTCTCTTAGCTCACTAATTTGAGGTTTGTTTGTTTTTCTTAACTCTGTGATTGTCATTTGGATTGAGAACTTTTGACTACTTGTTTCAATACAAGATAATTGAAGGGAATTATCACAACAGCACTTTATCTGTCCCTTAGGAAAATAGGTGCTCTAAGAAAAAAGAATATTTAAAAGATAAAATATGTGGAGTATTATATCAAGCCTCTGACTGTGTTCCTGAAGGAAATGACATTCTCATTTGTGAAGACAGATGTCAGCCCTCTCTAACCCTGGTGTCTCACCAGCATTAAGGGACACTGTTTACAAATGAGCCAGCTGAGGCCAGAGAGGCATGTGATTGACCAGGAATCAAATACATCTAAGTTTTCCAGCTCTGAAGTTCACACGTTCTCCCCTCTACATGAAGCTGCTTCTCATTTATCTCTTTAAGATTTCATTAGCTGGGATGGGCTTGACGCTGGAGAGGGAGATGGCAATCTGTGCGGCAGGATTTGTGAGAGACCTGGGAGCCCGGAACTGAGATTATCTCCCCCACAGCCTGTCCTGCTGGGCATCGTACAGATAAACTCCTTCGTATCTTAATGGCTTTTCCTTCTGTAAGCGCCCCTTATTAAAATGTAAATATGCCTGGAGGAATCATTCCTAAATCCATACTGGGATAAAATGTTATCTCAGGGATTAGTTGAACAAATTGTTTTCCAACCTAGAGTGTTGAGAGCAACACCCTAGGGCCAAGAGAGGGCACCATGGTGGGGGGCTGTGGGGGGGGGCACCACAGAACAGGGCTCTAGAACACACCTACCTGACAGGTTGAAGCAGAAACAGCCCTGTCTGAGGTTTTTTTTAGTTCTGTATTTTTTTTAAATGAAGCAAATATTTAACAAAATAAATTGAGTGGATAGGTGTCATTATTAACATTGCAAACCATGAATCTGAGCCCACTGATAAGTGGGGTTTTCAATGTGTAGTCTTTGATAAAAGCTTAAACTGAAATTGAGATTGGAGTGCTCGGCGTTTTAATTTTTGTATTTTATAAATGAAGCAGAACCTGTTCATTCTTCTGTACCCTTTCTTTACTCAGATTTTGGATAAGATAGGAAGTCCAGACTCTGATACAAAAGATCTCCTTGGGAACTTCCTCACACAATTTACAAGTCACTATTATTTGGTACATTTTTTATTTTTAAAAGTTCTACCTCCTACCTAGCATGATGGCTGTCATAGTTGTGTTCCAGATTGTTGTTGTTTTTTTTTACCTCTGTTTTCGTTTTTTCCTCAGACTTCCAAAGTGTTTCTTGAACAATTTTTAGAATTCCATTTTGATATATCAGTAGTGGGGAATTTGGTTTTGTTTATAACTATTTTACAATCAGTGATCAGTTCTCATCCACATTAACTGTTTATAGATTTTTGAAAGTGGTGACAAGTACATAGGCAACTAACATGGAACTTGCATCCTCATGACATTTTCTGGACAGCCACCACCTGGGTACAGTATGGGACATTCCTTATTCCTTTGGCCCAGACATACTTTCCCTTATTTATAATATAATTGTCTTAAAAACATTCTCTACATACATTGAGAACCACATGTAGCAATGTTGTGATTTTTGCTTCAAACACAATTTAGAAAATTGAACAGGAAAGGAAAGTCTATTGTGTTTACCTCTACTTTTATTCTTTCCATTGCTCTCTTGCCCTCCTGATGTTCCAAGATCTTTTTTTTTAAGTCATTTCCTATCTACCTCAAGAACTTCCCTTAGCCGTTTGTTATTTTCGGGGAGGTTTTTTGAAGACAAACTCCCTTAGTTTTCCTTTGTCTGAGGATGTCTTGATTTCTTTTTCATTCCTGACGGATATTTTCACTGGATATAGAATTCCAAGTTGACAGGTCCTTTAGCACTTAAAGAAATATGTTGTACCAGTTCCTCCAGCCTTCATGGTTTCTGACAAGAAATCTGCTGTCTTTTGAAGTATTTTTCTCTTATAGGTGAAGTAATGTTTTTTTCTCATTGCTTTCAAGATATGACTTTGTGTTTAGCTTTCAGAAGTTTAACTGTGATGCCTTAGCATGAATTTCTTTGCTTTATTCCTTTGGGACTTACTCTGTTTCTTGAATCTGTAGGCTTGTGTCTTTTACTTTTCAGCCATTAATGGTTCAAATGTTTGACTTCAGTGACACAAATTTTTGATCCTTTATTTTAGCCACACAGGTTTCCTAGGCTCTGTTCATTTTCTTTCCAATCTATTTCTCCCTAGTATTCAGGCTGGGAAGTTTCTATTGTCCTACATTCTTGTTCATTGATGATTTCCTCTGTTCTATTCTGTAGTTGAGCTCATTGATGGACCCTCTTACATTTTGGTTGTTATAGTTCTAAAATTTTCATTTGGATCTTTTTATGTCTTCTGTTTCTTTTTAGAGATTTTAAATGTTTTCATTTACTTTAAGAGTTCATGTCATGCTCATTGAAGCATTTTTTATGGTGGCTGCTTTAAAATCCTTACCAGATCATTTCATGGTCTGTGTCATCTCAGTGTTGTAAGCTGTTGTCTTTTCTCATTCAAGTTGAGTTCTTGGTATGGAGAGTGATTTTTTTATTGTGCCCTGGTAATTTAGGGTATTATGTTATAAGACTTCAGATCTTATTTAAGTCTTCTATTTTACCATAACTCCTCTGACCTTGCATTGGTGGGGAAAATTGGGGAGGGGGCTGGATGATGCCTTGTTATTACCAGTGTGGAAGCCTAGTTTTCCCAAATGGTCTCCACTGACACCACCCCAGCAGGGGGTTTTGGGTACCTCACTGAAACCTGATAAGGGTGGAAGCCTAAGCTTTTCACTCAACTTTTGCAGATAAAGATAGGTCCATAGTTTTTTCTGTAGTGTTTCACTGGAGTAGAGTAGTTTTTTATACAAGAGCTTTCTGTCTTGCTAGGCTTCTCCTTTCCTGGTCCTTTCTTTAGAGAAAATAAGCTTTTCTTGGGACTTTTAAAAAAGGATTTTTAAAATTTATTCTTAGAGAGAGGAGAAGGGAGGAAGAAAGAGAAGGAGAGCAAAATTGATGTGTGAGAGAAACATTGATGGGTTGCCTCTCACACATGCCCTGACTGGGGCATGGGCCCACAACCCAGGCATGTGCCCTGACTGGAAATCAAACCCAATACCTTTTGCTTTGTGGGCCAATACCCAACCCACTGAGCTATATCAGTGAGGACTTGGAACTTCTTTTCTGTCTTTGCCTGCTAATATTTATGGATTTCTAGTTGTCTTAGAACTAGAAGTCTCCTTGTCATACTATTTTGACTGTATACACCTTTCCCTAGGACGACATGATCCACTGTATTGGCAAATATGACAGGTTCTTCTACAGAACTTTATTTCACATAAAGTTGCAGATATAATGAAAACTAATGGTTATTGTTTGTGGCCCTTCACCATGCAGCCTACTGTCCCAGCAGAAGTACTGTCAGTGGACTTTCTCCATAATGAGAAAAAGCTAGGGGGTGCTGCCTGTCCTATCTGACAGCCTTCTTGATTCTGGCGTATTTTCCTATAAAGGTGAAATACATCTTGGAGGTCAGGAGCATTTCTATATGGAAACCCAAAGCATGCTTGCTGTCCCCAAAGGAGAGGATCAAGAAATGGATATCTATGTGTCCACACAGTATCCCAAAAGCATACAGGTAACATGGGGCCTTTGTGGAAAGAACATAGCTAAATGGTTTTTGCCTGCAAAATACACCAAAAGCAATTAGAGATAGAAATGCCATTCCAGAAACTGAAGGAATTTAGAGTACTAGTCACTGTATCCATTGGGTACTAATAACTGTATAATTTTAAAGCATTTAAGTATTTTTAGAGTAGAGACCTTCTGTGTGTGGATCTGTAACTAAAACAGCTACGGAATCAGCAGGTCTCTCTTGCTATACATTTGACACTGTTAGGAATACAAAAGAAGTGATGAATTATCACTTAAACTGTTGAATGATAATACAGGAAAGTTGTTCAGAGGAGAAATCCTGAGAGTTCTCCTCACAAAGAAAATTTTTCCTCTTCTTCTATTGTGTCTAAATGAAATGATGAATGTTAACTAAACCTATTGTGGTAATCATTTTATAATATACATCAATAAATTAAACTTATACAGCAGTACATGTTAATTATTTTCAATAAAACTGGAAAAAAGAATAAAAAAGAAAAAAGAGGGAGGTCTGTCCTGCAAAGTTTACAGTGCCCAACTCACATGAAGCAGTTAGGAAACCACAGTGGGGACATCACAAACTAGTGCAAATCGGCTAAGTCAGGGTTTACAAACATGGAGGAATTAAGAGAACACAAGGCTACTAAGAGCTAGAGTCCTCCAGAAAGTCCCTTAAAGATCAAGTCTTAAGTTTGGATTTATACTGAAATGAGATTTGTCTAGATGGTGAGAGAGAGATCATTTCCAGATAATTCCACACCAAGATCAAATACCACTCATTCATTCATTCATTCATTCACCTGTCCCTTCTGCAAACACTTATGCCTATATACCAGGAAGCATGCATGTAAGAAAGTAAGAACAATACAAGGACTGCCCAAGTTGGAATGAAGGATGCACTTTAGGGTTAGCTAGTATAGGCATCAGGATGCAAGCAAAGGGGTCTTGATTGAGTAGGTCATAAAGAGCAGGGTTATTACCAGAGCAAGTAGGAATGTGGGACTGTGGAGAATGAGGCCTTTGGAAGGTGAAACGCTAAGAAGAGTGAGGCAAACTCCATTCCAGTCCTGTTCTGCTCCTCACTTCCTGTGTGACGTTGGATCCATCACTTCATCCCTCTTGGACTCCCCATGTATAAAAACAGTAGGATGGAAAAAAAAAAAAAGAGCAAGACCTGCATCCAGGGAAGACCTACTGGCCAACTGTAGCAGTAATCCAAATGGGAGGTGAAAAGAGTGCATTTTCCAGTGGAGAACAGTAGTGTGCAGGAGAAAGACCCAATCTGAATGAGGCCTGGAAGGCCACAGAACCTCCCTGTTCCAGGAAACACATCCCTAGGGATCAGTGTGAAAAGTATGCTTTGTGTAAATGAGTAGTTCATGGGGAAAATTTATTTTAAAAATTTAGCAGAGTGCTAAATACTACTCAATACTAATGATAGTTTTGGTGATGTCATTGTAGCTAAATACCAATGAGATCAGCGTGGATGCACTCCGAGGTTTTTGGAAATTGCTGTTATTTACATTAACCACACAATTTGTGTATCATGTACAACATTGTAGAATTAAAACATGTAAGGGCTGCCTCAACTCCCTCGCTGCTGATGCATCAGCTTAATGAGAACTGTTCTCATTCATAGGACGTAGTGGCTTCGGTCTTGAAGCTCCCAGCTAACAAGGTCATGTGTCACGTAAAGCGTGTTGGCGGGGCGTTCGGGGGGAAGACCTTCAGAACTGGCATCATGGCAGCCATCACCGCATTTGCAGCAAACAAGTAAGTGCAGGAAATAAAATGAGGTCGTGCTGAGTATTAGCAATATCAGAGTTAAGGAGGAAGAATTTCAGTCAAGGTTATTTAAAATCACATAGAATATACACAGACACAAACAAGCTGTCAGTTATTACAACTTTTTATCTTATATTGTCAAACTGCATACAGTAAGGGCCAAAATAAGAATCAGTTACCGAAAAGAATAAAAGCCCCAGTGAAAATACTATAATACCTAGAGAGTAGACAGAAACAGGGGCTGAAAGGACAGAAGTTACTTATCTATAGAACCTGTGTGTGTGTGTGTGTGTGTGTGTGTGTGTTCCCTTGATTTAAATAGAGATTTTGCTCTTGTTATGCTTATCTTTATGTATATTAGCATATATTACCATTTTTCTTCAAGAATCTCAAAATATTTCCATAGGAAATTGTCTTTGCAACAGGTACACATAGAAGGCTCAATTTCTTTGCTGAGTAATATGGGTCAGTTCCTCCATCCCATGATACAGAAAGACCTTGCTTGCACACCTGTCCAGTCAACACCACCTGAATGCTTCCATTTGCAACCAGTCTCTAATGTTGCCTTTGGACTATTTGCCTATAGGGGAGGTTGTTATCACAGTGGGAAATACCCACAAAGCAATACTCTGGGGCCTCTGGCACCCATGAGCCAGCCTCCCTCCCATAAGTAGTCAGCGATTGCGCCCTGACCCAAAGAGAGGGGAGGCCACTGTGCGTGCTTGAGATCAGCACAGCCTGAGTTCAGGGAGTAGTTCTGCTGTTCTGTAGTATGCATGGATGCCACTCAAGGTGCCATGAGGGGCTCCGTAAACCCCAGATACACGTACATGGTAAAAGAGTTCACCACTTGGTTTTTTCTATTTTAGACATGGTCGTGCCGTCCGCTGCATCCTGGAACGAGGAGAAGACATGTTAATAACTGCAGGCCGCCACCCTTACCTTGGAAAGTACAAAGTGAGCTGAAGAAGGGAAGGGGGGATTCCTGTTGTAAAGACAACATTCCTAAAATGCAGAGGGCGGTGCTTGGCTACTCTCCAGTGGGGAATAACAATGAGCAAATCAACAAATTGTGCTTCTGTTTAACTTTCTATTCCTTGGGCTAATTACTTAATTATTGGCTGGTAAAATGAAGCTTTTCTGCTTGCCTCAAAGATGACAATTTGTGAAAAGCTAGCTGGTACTGGCTGCTACAGAGTAATTAACTGGAAAACGTATGAGTATATAGGTCCATAAAAGTAGATAGATAATCATGCTATAAAAGATGTAAAACTAGTGATGTAAAACATGAGTGATTCCTATAAAAATGGTGTTTTGTAAAATTATAATTATTTGCCAACACATTCCTCATTTTTAACTATATCAGAATATTTTGTAAAACTGCATCCCAGAAAATTTCTGTAGCACAAAATAATAATAATTACTATTGGTTCTTGCTTTATAAGAATTAAGTTTTTACCTGGCAGAGTAGGCTAATGGCTCTAACAAACAACTAAAAACCCTCTGGGGTTTAAACCTTTATTGTGTTAATCCCAGCCCAAGTATCAGGTACACGAGATCAGTGGGGATGGGGAGGACGGGGAGGAGAAGAGAAGGTCCACCCCACAAAGTCCCGCAGGGACTCCAGCTGTCCCTCTTCCCCGGGACTGCACTGCTGAATGCAGAAGTCACTAGGCACCTGTGGCTATATTTAAATTTAAATTTACTCAATTAAATAAAATTAAAAATTCAGTTTCACAGTCACATTAGCTATATATCAACTGCTCAAGAACCCTATGTGGCTAGCGGCTGCCATATTGGACATGCAGATGCAGAAGATCACAGAAGGTTCTGTTGGACAGCACTGCCCTAGGGACTCTGAGTCCTCCACTGGGTCCTCTGCAGAAGGCAGCAGACAGGGAAGAGAGGGAGCACAGAGTGTCATGTGGGAGGTGTTTTAGTCACCAGGCCTGTGAGTGGTGGACCTAGCTTCTATCCGTGTGTTACTGGCCAGAGGCTGGAAAATGTAGTCTTCCTCTGTGCCCAGGATGAAAGACGACATGGTTTGCTAAACACATAGCTTCATTTCTACCACAACTGGTGTGCCTGCACATATATTTTTAGAAGATAATAAATGTATCTTTTCAGTTCACATTCACTCTAAGCTATTATTTGATTTTGGTTTAGTTCAACAAAGATGTATTGCAGTAAGTTTTGTTCTGAAGATTGCATTTCAGTGATTGAGAGGGACATAAGTCACGTATGAAGTCACTATGAAAGCATAATCATCTCAGGTCAGAAGATGAGGCACACAGAGTAAAACTATGGGGAGAGATAAACATGAGTTGGCATATGTTCAGGAGGCTTCCTAGAAAAGGTGAAACATAAATGACGTTCAAGAAAGGATAGGCAGAAAGAAGGCATGTCAGGTGGTATGAATACTAAAAGCAGGAATGCAGAGTTGGGATGCACATGGCATTTTTGATAGGGGCAGGGGTGAGGGGAGAATGGGAATGAGAACACAGAGGGCTTGCTGAAGGACAATGGGAAATAAGATTTGTTGGGTTACATGATGCTGGACTGAGAGGGGCCCGAGAATCCCAGGACAGGGGCTTAGGCTTGGCCTCATAAGAAAGAATGACACTGAGTAGATCCTTGACCAGTCGAGTGCCCTAACCAAACATGAGTCCATTGGGGAGAGTAACATCATGGCAGCGGGCAGGATGGCTTAGGGAGGAGAGAGGATGGGGGCAGGTGGACCACTAGGAGGCAGCCGGCACGTTCAGGCATAAAGCAGATGAAGTCTGAGCTACATAATAAGAGGTAGAAAAAGAGGTTTTATTGTTTAAAGAGCCATTATTGTGTAAAATCAAATCGAATTTGGTGAAACACTTGGCAAAATACAATGCATAATAAAACCACATATGTGACTTAGAAGTATCTAGTAGACAGAGCCAAGTTGGAAGGAGGAGCCGATTTGGAGAGACAGTGATGAGGTTGTTGGTGTAAGTTTTGGGCAGGAAGTGACAAATGTCCTTCACTACTACGGGACTTTATTAAAAGGACTAGATTATAGTTATAGAAGTCATCAGCATAGTGGAGATTAAAAAATGAGAAAATAATGTTTTCTAATGAAGGGTGGTGTGAGGACAAGGGATATTAACTTATTAATACCATTAATATTAATTTATATTTAGAGCACTCTGTTTCAGTTATGTGCCTACGATTTTCCATGTACCACCATATTTATTGCCATTTCACAGAAGGTCAGAGGTTATAGGGCTTGCCTAAGGTGCACAGCAGGTTAAGTAGCAGAGGCAGTCCTTGACCTCACACTGCTGGAATTCATAGGCCATGCCCTGGGTTTGATTTCGGTTCCATTCAATAAAAATCATTACAGTGAACTTCAATAAGTTCAGAGATATTAAAGCAGTGCACAGACAGAAAACAGGAATACTGGATACATCGTTAAAGCAAGGAAGACATTTATTTAAAAGACCTTCAGCAGCACCAAACGCTGCTGAGAGTGTTGACTGAAAATGGCCCTGGGAGAAAAATGTGCAGAGGACATTCTGAGCAGCATCCAGCCTGGAAGATTAGGAGAAGACCTAATCTTTAGACTAGGAGGTTTGAAGACTAGGAGAGATGAGGATGGGAGCCATAATTCAAGGGTGGCAAGAAGAGGGGTCAATAAATACATCGTTGCTTTAATTTACGAGGAGAAAAAAGGATTAAATAGTAGTGATGGATTAAACAGGAAGAGTTTCTATTTGTTTCACTTTTTTATCTTTCTCTGCTCTTCCTTTTTTGTTTTTTATTATTATTTTTAGTTGTGGCAAAATGCACACAACATGAAATGTACTACCTTAATCATTTTTAAGTGTGTGTTTCAGTGGCATTATTCACCTTGTTGCCCAGTTGTCACCACCATCCAACTCTGAAACTCTGTCCGTCTTGTAACACTGAAGCTCTGCACCCATGAAGCAATAACTCCCCTTTCTTCTTCTCTCAACAGCCCCTGGCAACCTCCATTCTACTTTCTGTGTCTATATATTTGATTAGTCATGTAAATGGAATCACAGTATTTGTTCTTTTGTGACTGGCTTATATCACTTAACATAATGTCCTTAAAGTTCATCTGTACTGTAGCATGTGTCAAAATTTTAGTCCTTTTTAAGGCTCAGTACTATTGCGTTGTATGTGCATGCCACATTTTGTCTATCCATTCATCCATTGATAGACACTTGAGTTACCCCTCAGCTATTGTAAGTAATGCTGCTATAAACATAGGTGTACAAATATCTGTTTGAGATCCTGCCCTCAATTCTTTTAGATAAATACTGAGATGTGGGATTGCTGGGTCATGTGGTAGTTCTACTTTAATTTTTTGAAGAACTGCCATACCGTTTTCAATAGCAAATACATTACTTTACATTCCCACCAATCGTGCACAAAAGTTCCAATTTCACTGCATCCTCAAAAACGTTTAAGTAGTTTCTGTTGTTTTTTTTTTTATACTAGCCATACTAATGGATGTGAGGTGGTATACTATGGTTTTGATTTGTGTTTTTCTAGTGATTAGTGACATTGAACATCTTTTCTTGTGCTTACTGGACCTTTGTGTATCTTTGGAGAAATATCTCTTCAAGTCCTTTGTCCACTTTTTAATCAGATTGTTTTTTGTTGTTGTGTTGAAGAGTTCTTTATGCATCCTGAATATGAACCCTTTCACAGATACATGATTGGCAGATACTTTCTCCCATTCTCTGGGTTGCCGTTTCACTCTGTTGATTATCTCCTTTGATACACAGAAGTTTTTAATTTTGCTGTAGCCAGTTTATCTGTTTTTTCTTTTGTTGCCTCTGCTTTTGGTGTCATATCCAAGAAATAATTACCAAATCCAATGTCATGAAGCTTTTGACCTATGTGTAGAGGAGTCACAAGTGACAAAGCACCCTTTAGAGAGACTTGGCCTCCAGGACTAACATCAAAGGTCAATTCTCCTCCCGCAGGCTGGATTCATGAATGACGGCAGAATCTTGGCCCTGGAGATGGAGCATTACAGCAATGGAGGCGCCTCCCTGGATGAGTCATTATTCGTGAGTGTTTTAAGGAGCAAGTTCACATTCTGGAAAGTGTTACATAACATGGTTGAATTCAGAAAAGTTTCAATAGCTAAACACTATTGAATTATAAAAGCATAAAGGCCCTCATTGTAGGGTGACCGCATGTCACCGGTGTCCCCAGAGTGAGCCCGAAGGTATTGATTGGCCAGTTCTGATGTGCATCCGTGTGTTATTTCCATGTTTCCTGTACTTACAGCTCTTGTCCCAGGTGCAAGCCTTAGACCTCAGCCTCAGCCCTACTGGCATTTTGGACAGATAATTCTTTGTTGTGGCGGCCGTCCTGTGTGCTGTGGGTTGGTTAGCAGTATTCTTGGCCTCTACCCAGCAGATTTCAGCAGCATAGCTACCCTCCAGTCTCAACAACCAAAAATGTCTCCAGACATTGCCAAATTCTCAGGGGGAAAAAGGCAAAATTACCCCTAGAGGAGAACCAGTCATTAGACCAAATGCCAACACATTTTTGCCTATTATCTAGGATATTATTTATATTCATTACATTCTAGAGATTAAGTGGTTAGGGCCTAGGAATGCTTCATGGGCTTTTAGATATGTTTGAAATCTGGGGAAAATGCACTTGCTCTAAAATATGAAAATGAAAAAAAAGATTTCAAAAGAAAAGTTTTGAAATCATTAAACATTATTTTACAGCAAAAATGCATTTAAATTGAGGCATGGGTCTAGTTTAAGCATGTTTGATGTGACTGAGAGAGTCGGTCATTCCCAGCCTGGTTTTGGTCTGAGGTCTCAGGATGATCAAACAGGTACGGTACAGAAGGACAAAGTCTCCTCACGTCAACTCTGGATTTCCCCAGGTCTTAGAATGTGGAATTCTGAAAATGGAAAATTGCTACAAGTTTCCCAACCTGCGCTGCCGAGGGCGGGCATGCAGAACCAACCTTCCACCCAACACAGCTTTCCGTGGGTTCGGCTTCCCTCAGGCAGGACTGATCACCGAATCCTGCATCACGGACGTTGCAGCCAAGTGTGGGCTGCCCCCTGAGAAGGTAACACTGCATTAGTCCCATTCACAAATTTTAGAGGTGAAAGGGGCATTGGGAGCCATTTATGCTGAGAAATGCGAGTCCCGTATGGGCTAAATGATTTGCTCCAGGGAACCCAACTCACTGCTCTCACTCAGGCTCCTTCTCAAAAATCCCGGGGACAAGAAGATGTTGAAGAGTGAGCATTGTATTCTAACTTGTTTAGTGAGAAATCTCCATTGGTTGGGGGTATAACTGCTACAAGATGTCATACCCTTCCTTCCCCTGCTTCCTTAACATCTCAGGCAGCTGTCCTAAAGTTCCAGTCGCTTCAGTTACTACAGTGGTCTGCCTTCAGTTCTTTGTCCCAACTCCATCATTCACAAGCTCCGTGTTCTTCCTTGCACCTCTTCTACCCGAGGATCCTAGAATGGAGTTACAGTGGGGGTGGGCATGGTGTGCTGTCTCACCCCTTCTCCCCTGTGCCTTCTGCTGCAGCGCTGGGGGCAGAGAGGAAGAGAAGGAAAAAAATCAGGCAGCATCTGTTGTGACTCCTCCCAGCAAGCTCTCTGTCCTCTCCTTGATTCCATGTAGCTACTTCTCAAGTATGTTGTCTCTGGGTTCCATTTCTGCCAGTGCTCGTGAAAATCAGCAGTCCTCTGTGCAGGGGAGTTTGAGCTCACCTGCCTGTCAGCTAGCCCCTCCTGCAGCACCCCCCAGTGCCCCTTGTGCAGCACCCCCCGGTGCTCGTACCTCTGAGCCCCAGGCTGCAGCAGTCCTTCAGAAAGCCCTTGTCCTCCACTCATCTCTTTGACCACAGGCAGGTGCCATCTTCTTCATGTCTCTTGAACTTGTAGGAGATCCTTGCCTCTCCCTTCCTGCTCGTCTCCCCACAGCCTCTCTCTCAGATGCTCAGTCACATTTGGTAGCTCTAGGGGAGAAAATCAGATAATGACCCCGCCTTATCCCCGTGGAAAGTTGGAGGAAAGAATAGCCACCCTTAGAAACACTGCCTTGCCCCAGATGGCACAGCTCAGTCATTCCCAGTCATCTCTTCATAACGATCTGGGAATTTTTTAGGGGGATGAGGAGACTGTGTGTCTGTAATGGCCTCTGTCAGCACGAGGCGATGCCTGGTCTCAACTGCTGAGTGTTGCCGACTGAGAATATGAAGCACTTGACCTCTTGTTCTCAGCGGTGGGCCTTAATCTGCAGTTCTGGGAATTCAAGAGAACTCTTCTCAGTGCCTCAGACATCCTGGGGTAGAATCTTTTAATTTGCTCTTCATCCTAGTTATGGATTATGTTTAAACAGGCTTTAATGTTTTCCCATCTGGAAGTGAATGATCTTATTTTGCCACAGCATCTGATTCATGTAGATCACATTGCCTGGAAATTAAATTCAAGATTACCTTTCAACAGCTATTCACAAACATCCAGTATTAAGAGGCTACAATGTACCTGCACTGGGTTGAGTTTTATGAGAAACACGAGGAAAAGATTCCTTCCCTTAAAGTTACACAGCAGCAGTATGGAAGGCCTGGGAGTGCTAACATTTGATAGAGGCTTTGAGTAGAAGAAGAGAGTGCTTCACGTGGGAAAGGCTTCAGTGAGGTGTGTGCTGAACTCAGTTGGGCCTTACGGGATCAGCGGATTTCAACTAGGAGGACAGTGGATGGAAAAGTCCGTCTGCTGAGTCTCCCCACCCTGCCCTTTCCATCTCCCTTGTTTAAATAGGTCCGGATGATAAACATGTACAAGGAAATAGATCAGACACCCTACAAACAAGAGATTAATGCCAAGAACCTGACCCAGTGTTGGAAAGAATGTATGGCCATGTCTTCCTACTCCCTGAGGAAAGCAGCCGTGGAGAAATTCAACTCAGAGAATTACTGGAAGAAGAAGGGGCTGGCCATGGTTCCCGTGAAGTATCCTGTTGGCTTTAACTCACGAGCTGCTGGTCAGGTCAGTTCTCCCAATGGATGAATCAAAAGATGTTCAGGAAACTTTCCATTAAGGTGAATTAGCCATGTGGCTGCAGTCCCTGGTGGCTGAACTTGACCCAAATTGTGCTCAAACTAGCTTTTCTCCAGAGGAGACAAGAGCCATGTTCCCAGGCTTGGTGACAAGCATCCCTCCTGGGAAACAGGGGAATGTGATTTCTGTTCCTGGCCCTGGCGTTAAGCAGCTGAGTCCACTCACTCTGGGCCCCAGATTGCTCAAAGATAAAGTGAGAAGGTGGGACAGCCACGGCCAAGGCTCTCCTCTCAACTCCTCTAGGGGCTGTGCGTCTGGACTGTGCGATAGAGACAGGAAGCTGCAGGGTACTTGGTGCCCCTCCCCTTTCTGGTGGGTTAGGGTGAACTGAACCCAAAAAGTTAATTCATTTAAATCATTTTTAAAGCACAGTTTTAAGAATTTGTTCACTTCAGAGCCATTAAAACTGTGAAGGGGAAGACTGAAAGTCTGTTCTCATAGTTTAATTTCTTCAACGGATTCAATATACTCCCTGCTTGGTTGCTAAATCTCACTTACTGCTTCCACCTCTTCATTATTGAATGAATCTTACCCAGAACAGCTGATGAAGGACTGATCTCTTCTAGCTCATTGTACAGCAGTGACATGGGACCCTTGTCATCTGTGTTCTTACATATATGTACATATATGTATCTTATGTGTATGTGTATACATATACGTACATATCTGTGGGTAAGATGGCAAAGCCCTCAAAACCATTGTCACTCCCCTTTGCAGAATGCATGCCTTTGGCTGAGCCAGGGTGAGGATGTGGCAGGTGTGTTGAGTGGTGGCAGAAGAGGGATAAATGGGGGTGGAGCTGGGAGAGGCGCTAAGGGAAGAGCTGGATGTCTGGAGAGTAGAGGCGGCCGAGTGAGGCAGCTGGGAAGGTTCTTGCCTCATTCTCACAGTCCTCTGTTCACCCACCCATCCTGGTTCAGCTTTGATGTACTCATTAGAACATTTCATGCAGTTTTCGTTGTAGGTGCGTTAGCTCAGAGGAGCAGTGTAACAATACAAGTGGTGATCTTATTACAGCCACCCATCACCTGCCTGTTTGTGATGACAAAAACAGAAGAGTCACTTAGTCATCTCCACCCATCTTACCCAGATGAGGGAGTCAGTCAAGAAGCTGTGGTTGAGGAATAAAGGCAAAAACAAGGTTATTCAAAAGAAAGGAAGAGGGGAAAATTACCAGTAAAAAAAAAGATAGCGGGCAGGGAATCTTGGCATGCAGATTTGGGTAAACTGATTTGCTGGCAGCCAGCAGAGTCATCTGGGCTGTCATTGAGCAGGCTAGCTAGGATCACAGGGAAAACAGTCTCCATCGGTTACGGACGGTACGGAGATCCTTGGGCGTCAGGCTGTGGTAGGCATGGCAGCTGTCGCTGTTTAATGGTTGCCGTTATTTAATGTGGTAGAACACGGTCTATCTCATTCCCCAAATCAGAAATTTCTCAAAAAAAAGTAGATAAAATATAATGATGATTACTGAGCACCTACTATGTTGTAAGTACGTTTAGATTTTATTGTATTCAACCCTCAGGGCAACCTATAAGGTTTGTAGCCTTACCTTAATGATGAGAAACTGAGGCTCAGAGAGCTTAAATAACTTGGCCAAGACCTGCAGCTGATGAGAGGCGAGGCCAGGGCGAAAACTCAGGTCTGGAAGGCCCCAGAAACTGTGCTTTCTCACCCACCTCTAGCCGCCCCTCCACGGAGCCTTACATTGGGATTCAGCATAGCGAGGAAAAAAACAGACAACACCCAGTTGAACACGTTCATTCTCAAAGGCTACTGAGGAGCTTCCTGCAGCCACCAGCCCCTCCCACCCTTCCTTGAAAATTAGCTAGCTTCCATCTTTAAAACATTGGCTTCAGGGCTGAATCAGAGAATTTGAGATCAGTCAAGCTGCTTCCTGGATGCCAAATGCTGAAAGACTGTTCTGAAGCAGTCTGTAAGGGAGGCGGGAACTAGAAATGGTGTTTGAGCACCTTCTGTAAATCAGGCCCTAGGCTGGGTGATTTGTAATTTCCCACTTGATTGAACCCCTGTCTGTTGGGCAGGTGTGATGCTGTTTTATAAACTGAAGCCCATAGACGTGTGCTGTCTTCCCAAGGACATCCAGACCGCTGGGAAACAGATCCCATGGTCCTTTGTCATTTCATGCCCCTGCTCTCCCAACATGCTTCACCTACAGTTTTTTAAACTCCTCAGCAAGAACACCAGAGGACACACAGTATCTAATTAACCTCTCTTCCCAGCGTCCTAGTGTGGAACCTGGCGCAGAGCAGGAACTCAAATGTTTGAATGGCTGAGACATTTGGGAATCTGCAGGACCAAAACAAACTTCTCACCGATACCAGCAGTCATTGCTTGAAGATTTCAATTTCACGGGTTAAGTCACCAGTTTACATTGTAGAACCATCTGTTCTAACGCTGCAGTTGTGCCTATTTCTTAGATGAAGCTTTGTGGGATTACCTTGTGTGGTGCTAACAATGAACCATCCAGTGGTGCCACTTAACTGAACCAAATTTGACATTTTAAATGGCCCCAGAGAGATTGCAGCAACACATGGAACAGATTACTCAGTGGTCTCTTGTAGAAATGCTGCCTCAGGCACACAGGCAAAGGACCACAGCCAAGAGGGTCACACAATGCAAGACATGCACAATTCACTGTAATTGTCACGCAATCATATGTGTCAGCTACAAATTTCACTCGCAACTTCTGGAACGCTAGCTGAAGAAGAAGACCAAATACAGAGGCTATAGGTTTAAGAAACAGATCGAATGGCTATGCTGTTGCAAATTCACTTATCAAACTTTTATTGAGCACTTACTATGTGTGCGATGCTACGTGTCATTCCAAGGGATGCCTTAGGACTGTGGTTGTTCCTTTCAAGGGCTCACATTCCAACAGGGAGCACAATGATGTGCCATAGAATGGAGCCCAGAAGCAGCCACTGCAGCTGGCATCAGGTGGCATCCAGTGTACAACCTGAGGGCCATCGGCTCTGGGCTCTCTGTAGAAAATGCCACTCCTTATCTTTATTGTCTTGAGAGCAAATGGCCAGGAGCACAAGACAGTGTTTCCAGGAGTGATGTGTCAACAGGCAGTAAAACACATTCTGCTACATCCTCCCAAGTCCTTGGGCTGATTATAATGGCTACCATGCTTTTCTTAAGGTTGTAAAATTCTCCCTTGGGCTGTGAGAGTACATGCCTTTATCCCTGGAGACAGGGTATGCCCATGTCCCTACTTTCCCAATACATCAACAGTTTACACCTGTGGCCAAGTGAATAGAATCCATTTTCACTGTCAAAGTATCTTACTTGGAGCGGCAGAGGCTATTGCTTGCCATTCACTGGAGTGACATGGACCCTTAGACATCAAAACAGAGTCAGTTCTCCAAGTGTGGCCTGTGGCCCACAGGTGGCTATGGGCAGAGATCTATCTGGGAATGCAGTCCTTTCCTTGGGATGTATCTGGTGATCGACATATGAGCCCGTCAACTTTGGTTTATGCACAGGGTTGTCTATAAGAAATCTCAGTGAGTAATAAAGGCTTGCTCAGATTTTAGCTTTATTAAATGGAAATTAGCTTGTTACCAGAATTTTCCAAAGACCCTGCCTTTACCAATCCTAGATAACCATGGCCCTCTGGATCAACGCTTAGATATTTAGAAACCTAGCTGATAGGGCTTCCGGTGACCCTTGGCAGCTCCAGCCCACATCTGCGGGGTCAGCGCTTCCCGGTGGAGCAGCTGCACAAGTGTGCCTTGGAGGCCTTCCTGAACCACAGCGTTAGAAGCATTTTCTTCTGACCATATGCTGTTAATATTGCTCTTACACTAGAGACCCAAAGTGAGGAAGCCTCCTTGTTTTCTGCAGTTTCCTGAGAGATCGCCATAACTCCCTAGTCTAGCATGAGCAGACTTGCAAGATGGCATATTCTTGTTAATTGTAAAACATGTTTAGCTTAGAGTTTGGATGCTTCTGATTACAGCAGGCTTTAATTCTGTTAGCAGCTTGGTTCCTTTTGGATCCCTCTGGATTGCTGCACAGCTAGATAAGATTACTTCCAAGTTCTGTTTCAACTAAAGCTCTGCAGTTCAGTGCCAAGATGATTTAGAGTGGGCTTAGCTCATTTTGCAGTGAAAAAATTAATGTCTGTCTGCTTCATCTTAGTTGGATTTTCATGTTTGCTTCTCTGTAACAACCTACAACTGTGGGACTGTGTGTTCACATAAATAATTGTTCTCTCTGTTTCCTAAACTATCTACTGTAGATCTAACCTTGCATAGTAAAACTGACACCCACCTCCCAAGAAAAACTCCAAACCTAAATTTTGCTCCACCCATAACAGGGTATCCTTGAAAGGTGCCAGTGAGCTCGAATGTCCCAATGAGGCAATAGTAGCTTAAGGAGCAGAGTCCTGCCCCAGACTCAAAGCTACCCAGCAGCAATCTGGCCTCTTGTGGGTGGTCATGAGGTGCCCCAACATTGCCTTGGCTTTGCTCAGCACTCTCAGGGCATCAGAGAAACTGTCTGTGTATGTTTGGCAGGAGATGGAAGGGAGGGGATCATTTCCAGGGGAAAGTTTGTAATTGACAAGACATGTGATAATATCAGTCTGAAAGATCATGGAAACTGTTTGTATCTTTTCTGCATAGGCTGCTGCCCTGGTTCACATTTATCTAGATGGGTCTGTGCTGGTGACTCATGGTGGAATTGAAATGGGGCAAGGGGTCCACACTAAAATGATTCAGGTAAGAATGCAAATAATTGGGTGACGTGGGGTGTGTGCTTATAGGTATGAGAGAGAAACTGTGAATGTACATTCTCTCTTCCAAAATAAAAAGGAGAGGAGACTTTTGCTGTGACCACTTAAACTGCTAAGCTATAAGCAGAACCTGGATAAACAAGCCAGTTTGTAACTGACCCTCTTAAAAGAATGTGGCAGAAGAGTCTCTGGTTGTCTTATTGCTAAGCAAGGCCGTGTGGTTATTTGCTGCTTTCCTTTAGGTATACTAACAAGTGAATTGCCTTTTGAAACCTTTGCTGGGCAAGTTCTGAGGTACTGTAGGAAGGACTCTAAACGATTGATACTATAAATCACATTTGATATTTCTAACCAAACTCTACCAGTTTCCTTTTGGCTCCTTAACTTTAGATTAACTTCTAGGTACTGTTTCTGTTTTGCTAATCATAGTAGTAATGATACAGGTTATAAAACATTTGTAAGAGACAAATAGTTCTTTTTTAGAGGGCCATACATGATTCCACCATTTAGCAATAATCACTGTTTTGGGTTCTTTCCCATCTTGACTCCCCCTACCCCCAAGTTGCTCATATGTTTATATAATTTTGTGTCCTGGGTTTTCACCTGTCCTTGCACAGACTGGGCACTTCCTCCTGTCATTCTTTGCACTTACGACTTATAACAGCTGCATACGGATAATACACAGTTCATTTAACCTTCCTCGATTGTTGAACATTTAAGTGAGTTTTTTTACATAAACCTGTGATCAATGAATACCTTTTTAGAATAAATTCTCAGAAATGGAATTACTGGCCATAGAGTATATCTTTTATCCCACAAATACCTTTATTAAACCAGTTACCACTTGATCATTGGACACACATTCCAAAATTGTTTTCTGGAAAGTAGCCATCATATTGCACCACTAACCAACACTGTATGTTATGGGTTGTTTTAATATTTCAGATAAGTCAACAGGTGAATCACAGTACCTCATTATTGCTTTAATTTGCATTTTTCTGATTAGAGAGATGTTGAATATCTGTTTTCTTTTATGTTGTCAGTCACTGGTCATATCTTTCCCCACTTTGGGGGCGAGATGTCAGTATTTCCTTGATCCTGCCACCAGACCTTTATGTCAAAGCTGCTGTATTTTCTGCGGACGATCTTCTGAAAGTCAGTGGTCTAGAAGGACTCCACATGACCATGTGCCTCTCACAGCCATGAACAAATTCTATTAAGCTACATAGCAGGAAAAAGGGGATTTTGGATCAGCTGAAGTCAGTTATATGATTTTGCTCCCCAGCGCTGGAAACGGAGGAAGAACAGAGCTGCCTGCTAAGTCCTTGTGTTGGCCAGCGGCGGCGGCACCGTCTGCTGTGACTGCATGCTGGTGCTGCTGGTGTTACAGGGTCACTGCTCTTTCTCGGAGGTGCTCTTTTCCCGGACCACCTCCAGGAATGTGGACAAGGCATCTCCTTTCTCACAGGGTTGTCTTTCCTAGCATCTTGCAGAGTGGAGTGTAGGAAAGGCCTCCAAGATGTTGATTTCACGATGACAAAGACATAAAGCATTTCTTTCTGCCTTGGCATGGGGCTTTGTTTTCTCTTCCTCATGCTGTTGCACATCAGACAGTCAAAGCAAAAGAAAACGTGCTCAGGGCTTGGGGTCCAGACTGGCTGCAGGGTTTTTATAGAGGAAACTTTTGCAGCTGAAAGAATGTTATGGTCCTGCCCACTGGGCATGTAAGGACTTCACACAGAAGCTACAGTGAGCACGTGCATAGGTCTCTGACTAACCAAAGTATTTGGGGGGAAAAAAACCCTCTCTTCTAAAACCCAGGTGGCTAGTCGTGAATTAGGGGTGCCACTGTCAGATGTCCACCTGCGCGGAACAAGCACAGAAACCGTCCCTAACACAAACATCTCCGGAGGTTCTTTGGTGGCGGATCTCAATGGGTTGGCGATAAAGGTAAGAATCACTGCGGTGGTGTCCACAGCATTAACCCCGTCAGGACCAGCACACGGGAGGTGCTCAGAAGATGTTGAAAATCAATCCAGCTCACATCTCCTGCCCATGCCCTCTCAGTGGAAACTGCCCTTCCCCACTCTCCAGCGCAGCCAGCGGCGTAGCAGCGGGCACTCCCCTGAGCTGGAAATGCCACCGCTCACGCTCCCTCCGTCATGACATTTCACTGGTTAGCAAGCCACTGCAATTCTGTGCAAAAACTTCTCTGTGGAAAGAGACCTTCCACTCCCACGTTCTGATAACATGGCTGTTCCATTCAGGCTCACACCCCCTGCCAGGGCCGTGCAGGCTCTTGTCTCCACCCTAGTTCCTTTGCCTTTCACCCTGATTTCACGCTGCCAGAGTGAGCTTTCCCACAAGATAAATGTGCCCATAGCTGTGTTTTAAAACAGTGGCTGCTGGTTTGCCAACAGTTTTTCTGTGAAGTCCTAACCGGCTAGCGTGGCCCCCACCCTGGGCAGCCACGTGTCAGCCTCCCCCGTGAGCCCTGTCACATCACCTCCCACAGGAGGGCCTCTTCTCCGTGTTCCTGGGGCCTCTCAAATAAGCCGAGAATGGCACACGTCCTGTGGCTTTGATATTGATGTTTGCATGAAATTATGATCAGAATTTTAACTAAAAAATAATCCCTAGGATGCTTGTCAAACTCTCCGGAAGCGCCTTGAGCCCATCATCAGCAAGAATCCTCGAGGCACTTGGAAGGACTGGGTGAGATCTCTTTGTGTTTTGTGTTAGAGTAAAGGCGGCAGGGGGTGGGGGGAGTGCAAGAGATGCATGTGAATGAACCATCAACAGAAAGGGCACTTTAATAGGCTCTGCAGCGGCATAGGGACAAGCAGAGACCCTTCGGTGTTCGGTGCTCGGCATATGGAAATCGCATCATCGTCTGATGGGAGAAAATCCTGTGTTGGAGAAAAAGATGTTTGTTGCTCCAGAACTCTTTTTAAAAAATGTTTTAATATATTTGTTTTTTATTTTAAATATCTTTACTGAGGTATCACTGACATGCGGTAAACTGCACATATTTTAATGTACAATTTGATGAGTTTTGATATATGTGTACATACATGCAACCATCACCACAGTTAATGAACATATCCATCACCCCCAAAAGATTCCTGATGTTCCTTCGGAATCATCCCCACTTCTCCCTCCCTCCCGTGCCCACCCCACCATCCCCAAACACATGGATCTGCTTTTTGTTACTAACAGATTAATTTGCTTTGTCTAGTTTTATAAAAATGAAATCATACAGTATAAATTTTTTACAACACAGTGATTTGACATTTATATAACTTTGAAGTGACGGCTCAATAAATCTAGTACCTATGTGACACCATACATACTCATAGTTATTACAACACTGTTGACTGTACTTCCTATCAGAATCTTTATTTTAAGCAAGAATTAATTCATGTTTCTCCCTGTAGAACCTATGTATTTTCTAGATAATAGCTGTACGTCTGTTTGTTCTCCTTCTTGGGGTTCTACTCTTCCTGAAATGGGAAGAAAACACTTCCCATTTCTTCTTTTATAAAACTAAAAACCACGTAAGCACTTATGTAGAAATAGAAAAGCAAGCCATTGGGTGTGTGTTCAGCCAATAGTTGGAATGGAAAGGAAATACTCAACCGCTTCCTTTGAGCTACTTATGATGTCGCTGGAAGAGAAAACTAGCAAGTTTTTGGAGTGATGAGTTCTGAAGTTCCCGATGATACGGAACGGATGGCAGTAAAGGCTGAGAGTGTGTGCCATGCTGCCTCGTCTAGAATGTCACATGAAAAACATTGGTCTGGAGGAAATAACATCTGGGAAGTATTACTTAGAAATGGTTCCTTCTAGTCCATAGAGTTAGGACTCATTCTGTAATTCATATTTATGGGATCTTTCAATCCTTTGGGGGCACATTTATTCCTGCTATCTGCCCTGTGCTGCATGGGCCCAGGATGGCTGAGAAAGTCTGGCTGGAGAAACACCATCTCCCAGCCGTGCGATGCAGCGCGAGGGGGCCAGTCCTCCACCATGGCGGACGGAAGCTGCCACTCAGCCCACTTTCTTCTCTAATGAATGCACTTCACATATTTCCTCTCTCAGACTCGAGGGCTTGGACCTAACCCCCATTTTTTCACTATTAGTTAACTGTGTGCACTGCACAGTCAGGAGAAACTTTTGTTTTAAATGGTACAATTTAGCAAAATATTTATTACCCCTTTCCTGTGACTATTATAGATACATGATGTAAAAATTAAACATCCAACTGCCCCCCATTGTTTCCAGAAATGTTTTATCTTAATAGGCTTAGTCTTTCCAGATAACTGAGCGACAGTCTGCAAAAGCAGACTGTGGGTTGCCCAGCATCGTCCAGGCGATGAGTGTGCATGCCAGGGCATCGCTTATCACAGCGGCGATACATTGAGCAAATGCTGTTATTACCATACCCAGTGAGCCACAAAGGCCCGTGGAGGTGGATAACACTGGAAGGAATAAATTGCTGTTGGTTCTTCCTAGTTATTACCACTGGTAGCTTTGTTTAGCATGTACTAAAGTTAAAATTGAAGTTGGAAGTGGTTCTTCCTCTAACATCCTTATTGTGTCACGTGGTACCCTTCTTTCACAGGCGCAGGCCGCCTTTGATGAAAGCATCAGTCTCTCAGCTACTGGATACTTCAGGTAAATGGTCCTTTCTGCCACAGGCTATGGGAAGTAGCAGTGGCACCTTGAGGAAGAGTTTCGCTTCTGTTTGCAATTTTGGAACCGATTGATTTTGTACCTTCTAGTGACCCACTGTTATAAAGAACATTTAGCTGTTGCTTAATCCAAATGTCCAGAAAGGCTTTTATTGGGAAATGATTAAGCACACAAATAAAAAATGGTTGAATCAGTGATTCAGGTTATACAGGGTAGTTCTAGGGGTTTCTACCCTGTAGAACCCTCTAGATATACACTCAGTGGGGTCAGGGCAGAGCACTAACAGGGACTCAGAGCAGTGGCTGACCTTTTATTGAAAACTCAGTGTATCCCTTACATTAGGAAACAAAGATTTAAAAATGCAAATCAAACACATAATAAGATAAATACCATTTATACTTTCTAGATTAGCAAAAGATAAGAAATTTGACAGTAAACAATATGTTAACAAGATGCAGAACAACTGGAACTCACTTATTTTGGGGAACAAAGTACCTACCTATTTGAACGGAGAGTGTCGGCCATCAGAGAGCAGGGCAACACAGGGTCTTACCTGCCTGGGCACTTGGCCTGTGCTCACGAGCGCCCCAGGGCACTGGCCCGCTGTCAGGAGGAAGCCCTGGGAACATTTTTAATGGCCACCTCCCGGCTGGGGGAGAGAGGAGAAAAGGGTAGAAAGTGCTGGCGACCTGCTGGCCTGTGCTTCTCTTTCGCCATGCCATCCACTCGGTGTCCTTGGAAATGAGTCGACCGGTGGCGATGTGGGACACGGGAGTAGTCTCGAAGCAGGAGACAGACAGCGAGGGGCCTGATCCCTCACACCTGGTGGCTGAGTCCTAGGGCCAGAAAGACAAATAAACAGGCCAGTATGAACCTTTGAAGCAGTGTTTTGTGTAACAAGCAGGTGGAATTCTCCAATCTGATGATACAGGATTACCTGCCCCAGCATTAGCCCAAAGCAATAGGATGGGTAATCATACTGTCAACAGTTAACTTCCAGGCATAAGGAGTCATTGATAGGAAGCCAGTGGATGTTTTTATCAGAGAAAACAAACTTAATAAGAAGGAAGTAATGCTGATTTATTCAGCACCTTCACTGCACATATTGTGTGCTGGCTCATCTCAGTACAAGTCTACTCCTCTGGTTTGCAGTGCACACACATGGGCACAGTTCCTAACGGGCCTGCTGAGTCATCACAGTCTGCAATTAGGAGACCATCACATAACCACACTTCTCAAGAATCCTCTTTTCTCCAGGGGTTACGAGTCATCCATGAACTGGGAGACAGGCGAAGGCCAAATGTTTGAATACTTTGTTTTTGGGGCCGCCTGTTCTGAGGTTGAAATAGACTGCCTGACAGGAGCTCACAAGGTCAGTACCGACGGGAGGGGGTTCAGGCTGTACTCTAGATCCTCCGAAACCCCACATACCCCGTCTCCCTGGGCGCCCCAGAAGCACCGTGTGTTTGGCCTGAAGGTAATTTCTATGTGTTACCAGAAGGAAATAGAAGCTCAGCCTTGGTGCTATGGTTGCTTCCATGGAAAACAACCAGCGGCCTCTCCTCCTTATTTCCCTGGCCCTTTTAAATAGTGTAGGGAGAGAAATCACTTCCAGGAAGAAATGCAGCCTAAAGGGGGCTTCCATGTAGACTATTGGGACAACTGGGTATGGTGACCACGTTTGTGAAGTGCCATCACGTGACATTCTTGAAGGATTTCATAAGTATCTATAATCCGCTAACAAGACAGAAGCCACAGTCCACAGTCTTTATAACCTAATGTTGGAGTGGCAGACTGTTGCTTCTGCCATATCCTACTGGTCACGTAAACCAACCCTGGTCAAGTGCAGGAGGCAACTACATAAGGCTTCATCCTTATGATACCTGGATGTGGGGTCATTGTGGGCCATCTCACAGGCTGGCAACCACAACTTAAAATGGCTCTTTGCAGCCCCATCAAAACACAATGACAAGCAGTAGTCAGTCCACAGTCTTGAACGCAAAATCTTTAGTAACTGCAGACTCGAGCACCTCCCCTCCCTTCCCCTCCCCTCCCTTCCCCTTCAGCTGAGGCCACTTGTGTCATGGAAGACCAGTCGTACTACCTAGTGTCAAAGAGAACTTTATACTTCATTGTGTCTTTTAATAAGAAGGCAGGTTTCTGAAGTTTTATTATAGTAGAACATTCTGGATCACTATCTAATTTTCCTAAGAAATATGTCAGATGAAAGTCGTTTATCAAATAAGGACACTTTTGACTTTCCTTTGCTCCATCGATAATTAGAAGTGGAATCTGTTATGATTCTACTATTATGAGACCGTGGTGTCATGTAAAAGAAGGTGTGGACTTGCTGGAGAGCAGAGGCATTCCCACCAGCCTGGCTGGGCCCACCACACTCCTCTTCATTTGTACGTTACCAGAGAATTTTTAGTGTCCAGGTCTCAATGTTAGATTTATTCTCTCTTGTGCTCTAAAAATTGAAAAATCTAGAGCAGATGACAATTGAAAGACTTTTTTTTGGCTGATGCACCCTGAGTTCTGTGACTCAGTAAACATCAAGCAGCCAGTTGGACTTTGGATGTTGGATTGTGTGGTCGCCACAAAGTTTTGCAACAAGGATCACGAGAGCCATGGACGTTTTCTGTTTCCTGTGTCATATCTTATGTCTGTTGTAGTGGATTAAACTCGGTGTATGTTACATCACTCAGCTGGAATCAGAGTCAAGTAAATATTTTTCTCTCCTGTTGTTTCCAATAAAAACAATCAGTGCTTAAGCTGGTTAAGAGTGTTTGTAAAACTCTGAAATTTATACATAATAAACTATGCGACATAAGATATTGCCTCTCTCTGCTGAAATATAATGTGGCCCAAGGAGAGGTTCTATATCAATGCCACCCTGGCAGGAACTATTTCTCAGTTTTCTTTTCCTAAGTTGTGTGTTCACCACAGTAAACACTTTTACTTTTTCTCTTACTAGAACATCAGAACAGACATTGTCATGGATATTGGCCACAGTATAAATCCAGCCATTGACATAGGCCAGGTATGTGTGCCTGATTTGCCTCCCTTCCCACTTGTAACAGCCAAAACTGCTATGGGGATCTTTGGGGAAAACACTCCATCTCACTTATTCATCACCTTACTTTTCTACTCCTGTAGAAAAGTCGGAATCTTTCTATGCAGGCCAGCCATGGAACTCACATCTTTTGCTGTTTAAAAGAGTGAAGGAAACACAGGTGTCTTAGGTAGCATTTGAAGAAACGTGCAGCCTGTGACTGGGGAGCTTGACTGGGGGGACTAAGCTGGAGGGGACAGACTGAGCCCCAAACATCTAGGAGAGAAGATGTAGCGCTAAGTGCTAAGCCTTGGGCATGTGAGGGTCTTTAGCTTCAAGGAGTTTGAAATTGGGATAATAAACATCAAATAACTGCAGCAGTAGTGACTGGATAGGTAGCCTTGTTTGCCCACAGGCTTTTTTAATTTAAATTTGAAGTGAATGACAGGATTGAAAAATCACAAGCTGTTTTACATAAATATTCAGAGGTCTAGACACCAAAGAACTGGAGCATTTCAAAGCTGCTCGGGAAGCTTAGAGAGCACACAGTTCAAACCCTTTATGTTACAAGTGCGGAAACTGAGTCCAGAGACTCGAGGCCAGCCAGCTCGAGAGCGAGGGTGTTGGGACGGGATGATGGTTCTACGCAGGGCCCTGAGAGCCGTTCCTAGTGTGCTGGGGGCTGTGGACGCATCCGTCCGAGGCAGAGGCATCTGGAAGAAAAAAGGAGGACATTGGAGCTACGGGCTTTCCGAGGCCTCTTCTAGGACCCTTGACATTTTAACATCAAGCTGCGAATTCAACTCAAGGCCTTTGACTTTGAACTTAACATTCATTAGATGTTTAGAAATGCTTTTGGGTAAACTTTTAAGTAAACTTTCAGAGACATCGTCCAAGACATGCTGAAAACCCTCTTACACCCTCTTAAAAATTCAGACAAACAGCATGAAGCTGATGCTACTGTTGACTATATTTTCTCACACATGAAAATTCTAATTTTTTTTCTTTGCCTCAGATCGAAGGTGCATTTGTTCAAGGCATGGGACTTTATACAATCGAGGAGCTGAGTTACTCTCCTCAGGGTGTCCTATACACTTGCGGTCCGGACCAGTATAAAATCCCCACCATCTGTGACATCCCCACAGAGTTCCACATTTCTTTGTTGCCTCCATCTCAAAACTTGAACACTCTGTATTCATCTAAGGTAAGTTATGCTCTCTGAACAAATGCATGTTTATGTGATACTCGTGCAGGGCGGGAAGGGCTACATTCCTCTTTTGGTGGTTTGTGGTTTTTACAAGGACTGTAGAAGAGAAGGCCTTATTCAACATTTTAACTATAAAATAATTTAACAATATTATAAAAAAATTTTTTAAATACTCTAAAGCTTGGAGCCTAACACAAACTACTGTGGCCATCAGGTTGCATCAGACTTTTTTTTCCTGGCAATAATCATTTGCATGCCTGTATCTCCTTTTTACATTTAGGATCATTTCCTTAGACTAGAGTCCTAAGATTGGGAATATTGTGTTTAAATAGTAAATTTAAAGGAATAAGTTACATACATAATATTTAATATTTTATCTGTGCACATATAGACTTATAGAAGCACATATGCATGTGTATACTCCGGGAGGGCGTGCAGAGAGAATCATAATCTCGTTCATTTGTTCCCCTCCAGGGTATGGGCGAGTCTGGGATCTTCCTGGGGAGCTCGGTGTTTTTCGCCATCCACGATGCCGTGAGTGCAGCCCGGCGGGAGCGAGGCCTGTTGGGGCCGTTGAAGCTCAATAGTCCACTGACCCCAGAGAAGATCAGAATGGCCTGTGAAGATAAGTTCACAAAAATGGTATGTTCTGCTCATAAAGTTATGAATTTTTGGCCCCTGGCCTTGTGGTCAAGTTTGATTAATCCACCATGGTGGTTTTCCATGGAAGAAAAGGTGACAAGAATCCCGAGGGCATTGGAGCAAAAGAGCAGAGTGACCCTCAAGTTGCCTTTTCCCATCTGCCTGGCCCTGCCCGGTCTGCAGTGGGGTCTGTTCTATTGCACTTGAAAAAAAGGAGGTTTATTTTTGTGTCATCAGTTCTTCGTTCCTCCCTTGTTTGGTTTTCTCCCCAGGACACATTGGTCCTCAGTAGAAGTTCAGGCACTGTGTCCTGAGACAAAGACAGGGGCCGCTCCAGCAGTCTTGCTCAGGCCGCCCCCTGCACCGGTGCGCGTGCGCAGTTCCGGATTTGAGATGCGCACAGGCAAAGGGCCCTTCCGCAGCCCCCAGGACGGGAAACCCGCTTATGTCCACACCCTGCTAGGCAAACATCTCAGCTCTCCGTGGTCATTTTCAGTGGCAGGAACTTTAAATATGGAGGGAATTCATGTTGTTCCCAGGGACCGCTCTGACAATAAACAAGTTATTTCTTGATTATTTCTATATTGAAGGGAGAGCGCCCCATACCTCCTCTCAGCTTGGCTCTTTGGGGCACCCTGTATGTCCTTTCCTAACCCCACGAATCACCTCTTCACTCGGAGAAACGCAAACGGCTTCCACTTTTCATGCGTCCCTCTTCTCCAGGGTGTGAAGGCTCTCGTAGCTGCTCCACCGCACCCGACCCCAGTCCTCTCCCGGACTCCTTCCCGTTCCTCGTGTTGTCATTGCCAGGCCTCTTCTCTGTCCTGGTCGGCCTCTGCGTGGTTTTTATCTTATGTTCTGCTGTTTTTCACCTGTTGCAAATGTTTCCCAAATGCAAACATAAATTTGTCCTTTTCTTCTAGATTCCAAGAGACAAACCTGGATCCTATGTTCCTTGGAATATTCCCATATGAGTCAAGTGCAAACTTCTGGAGGAAATCGGGTGACTCTTCCAGTACGGCAGTCCATCCGGTTTCTGTGCTCTCAGATGCTAGGCCTGAAAGACAGATTTTCACAGTTCAGAAATCATTTCACAGAGTATTGCTTTTGTATGATGCTGATTTTAAATGTTCCATTTAGATTTTGATAGATATGCTTAAGCAATTTAGAAATCATATTTTAAATGCATAAACACTAACTGGTTTCCTCTGGAAGATATTCGCCATTACCCTGTCCCATAAACCTATCCAGCTGAATGGAAGAGAAGACTTGTATGTGATTCACAGTTGGCTTGTCTCCACCAATAGAAATCATATTGTCTAGTGAAAAGCAACTTTCTAAATAATTTTATTAGTAATGTGAGCTTTAAAGGGTATTCACTTTTTACTATATATGCTTTTCTATATTTTAGTTTTCAAAAATATGCATTAGCTTTGTAATTTAAAACAAATTAATAAACAAATGCAGTTAACACTTAGAAATGTGCCTGAATTCATTACGTCTATATGGTTATCTCCATTTCACTGACTAAAGAAGGTCTTTGTTGCTGACTGTAAGAAATTATATGCCAGTGGGTAAGCCCTTGGGCAGGGAGAAGTATGTGTTGTGTAAGAATGAGATTGAGATTCCAAACTGATTTAAGGGAGGAGGAAACTGGAGTTAGCAGAGGAAGGTGGGGTCCTCAGAGCACAGAGAGACAGGATTTGATCGGAAGAACACACTCGAGCAGGCACCAGTCACCCCTGCCCCACGTTGCCCTCCATCCAGCTGTCCGTCCTCCAGCTGGAGCACCTGGGCAATCTCCCAGGTGGACACAGCAGCAGGTACTTCTGTAGGGCTTCACAACTTTCTGCCAATTACTTTAGCGTAATGTCTATTCTTAGAAGTCAAATGAAGTTTTCTTTGTAAACAGAAGAAAAATAAGTTTTCCATTTTGTTATTTCTAAATTTATGTAGAGAAAGAAACCATGGTAGAAAGCAGGTGTTCAAGTGGCCAGTGTGTGAGCTGGCAATTTGCCCAATGACTGTGACAAACCCATATCAGTTTGTATTTGTAGTTTTCCAGGGAGGAAGGGAGACAGCCAGCGAATGAGAGCGGGAGAGCTTGTACGGGAGAGAGAATCTACTTGCAAAAGGTATTAGGATTCCTAGATGGCAAGTACTTCATTGTATTGATGCCTTCAGACTACATTTTGTAACTGTATTTGTATTCACCTAAGTGTTAGGCATCAGCTGCTCTCTATTACAGTTTTCTTTGTCTCTTCCTCCCCACTGTCTTTTTGAATCATCACCAACACGACACAAAAACACAAGTGTAAAAACCTTCAGGTCATTTGCAAATAATAATAAAATTTGGACCTGCAAGAATAGAAGGGAAATCATCCCAGAAAGCTAGGAATAAATTTTAGTTAGTTTACATTTTAACATGTTTCTCCTTTAAGCAAAGATTCTTAAATCACTAAAAAGAATGGGCAAAATAATTTTCTGGTCCCACTTTTGTTTCCAGTTCTTGAGATTTCACTAAAACATAATCCAGGAATGGAATGTGCTCCTGGCTTTTCACTGTCTTTGACGCTGAGCCTGAGGGCAACCTTGTATCAGTGTTTTCAGCACCGCTGGCAAAGAGGAAGTCCAGGCTGACACTGAGCTGTCTGTGCAAAGTAATGGAGGCCCAGCACAGTTATATAATGTACCCAAGTTCGCTCAGCTAGCATGCATGATAGGAACCTTGCTCTTCATCTGTCTGCTCCCAAAGCTGCATTCTTTCCTCTGGGCCCTGTTCTCCTAAGAAGGTAGCAAGTCTCATAGATTCTTTTCACTAACAGGAAGTGGCTGTGGGTCGTGCTGGTGTTTCCCAGGGGGTGTGGAAATGACGTTACTTCTCTACTGTTGCCAAGGTGTTGTTTTCTTAACTTGGCAAATGTGAGTAAAGAACAAAGAACATGTTTTGCAGGTAGCAGTGAGAATTAAAACCCTCTAATTCAACTGTGCAAACTCAAGATTTAACTATTTTTTACTAAGTTTATAACTATTCAATATTTCATAGCCTTTTATTATTCACCCAAAACCACTGTTGTGAGGGATGCAAATTCTTGCTGGTTTATCTTCTGAAACAAAGCCAAACATTTGTCCTGCTGAAATAAAAACCAAATACAATACAGTGTTACATAATTTTATAATCTCAAAAAGTGATGTTTGATCAACTCAGGCAAACAAGATCAACAGACACATCCTAAATGACTTTTAACCCTTCAGAAAGACTGGGCCAAAGGAAAGTGGCCTCACTCCACAGAACCATTTCCTCTGCACAAGTCACTAAGAGGGATTCAGATCCTAAAATAGTTGTATTGTTCTACCTGAAGGAAAACTCTCTCCTTTGTTTGGGAAAGCAAAGCAAGTATGACACTAGAAACTGCAATCTTTCTTGCATGTGCATACCTTTTTCTTCTATCACACTTCATTGCAAAGGTTTTGATTTGGTTCTGTGCACAAAGACATGGAAAGGGGATAACTCACACTGTCTCGGTTCCTATAATAAAATGAGAAAAACAAGGCTGCATAGTCTATGTTTGGTCTGTGTAAATAAGCATGCTGCTAATTTTAGCCAGAAAAAAATACTTCTGTGACTTGGATATTTGAATTTGGCATGCCATGTAACAGTCTTTAATCAAGACTATGTATGCTGAGTATCCCCCATACTAAGTTATAAACTCTTTGGGGCTAAGGATTATGTCTTGTTCCAAAACTACCTCCCACACAGGAAGGAACTGGTGTGCGATGAAGACTGCTGGCAGACCACTGGGCCAGGGGCCAGGGGCAGGGAGCGTCGCGGGCCCATTCGTCCTTTTGGCCCCGTGAAGCCCCTCACACCATCAGAGTATGGTATGTGAGTCTCAGGCTGGGTTTGTATGGAGTTTTTAACTCATGTACTGAAGATGCATTAGTTAAAAATGTCCCAAAGTGAATGAAACAATAGATAACCCTCCCACATTAGAACAGGAAATGAGAAGTAGAAAAGCTGGAGCTGTCTTTATGGACAGAAGACCTTATAATAAATCCCTACAATTTAATTTTTTTCACCTAGTGGTAGCAGAATGAAGGAGAGAACAAAATAAAAGCAGACAATGTCTCAATGTCTGTGGTCTTGGTTGACTCTAAGCTATGCCCTTGAAGTCCAGCCCTGGGCTGACTGAGGACTTCCTCTCCCAGCTACCTCAATGGAATCTCTTCCCAGAAAGCTTCTCCTGGCATCTTCAATGTGAATAAATCACAGCACTTCCAGCTGGAATCTGACACACTTGTGCTGCCTTTAGCTGTTCCAATCAGACTTTCTACCCCTCAGCTTTCAGGCTGGATCCTCTGTGTCCTTTCTTCCCGGAAAGAATTGCTGATGGCCATAGCACCCAGTGCTGGTCCATCACCCCCAGGTATGGTGATGAGTATCTATGCTCACCTAGGAAACCAGAGAGCAATTAATGGCAACCTTGGGTGGTGAGTCATGAACCTCTTACACCGCAGAATGAGATGCCTTTAACAAGAGGGGCAGGGATGCTTGAGTGTTTCCTTCTGAGGAATTCAGCCAAAGGGCTTGACAAAGACTGATTTGCTGACCTTTATGATCCATGCCTCTCTGGCAGTGCCGGCAAGTACTATCCACCCCTATTTAGCATGAGGGGAAACTGAGGCAGCCAGCCAGAAAGTAAAGTGAATTTTCCATGTGACTCTTACACTCTTGGCACCGTACCAATTGTTTCTGATCATTTCAGTGTCATGTGTATGTGAACAGCATATGCTTATTGAAGCAGACTTTGCGTGGGTGGCATAACACAATTGCAATGTTACCAGTGTTTGGAAATATTAGGAATTAAAAAATCTTTTAATAAAAACCTTTTAGTTATGTACTTAGAACTAGGCAAAAGAAGCAATGACCTTTTGGTTTGTTTATATTTTTTGTTGTGGCTGTTGCTGCTATGGTTTTTATTTATGTACTATTAATGCTTATGAAATCATAGACTCTTAGGAATTAGGAAAAAATCACTTATGACTCATAAGTGATTTACAATCATTTGAAATGCCTTAACACTTTTAAAGTGGTGTTTTCCCTTTCTGTCTTTTGGAAACTTTTAAATTCTTGCTAAGTTGTATATATGTCCTCTATCCTTTCAAGGTACTCGTTAACGTTTATTCTATTATTTGCAAATCTGATAAACCTTCTCTCTGTAGGTAAGCCTTTGATTAAACTATTGCACAGAATAAGCCAAGTGGAGACCTATGAGAAAATTAATCAACACAGTTGACATCAAGTTGTCATTCAACTCAATTAGAAACCCTTCTGTGGTATCATGCATTTACATTTCTCTCTCTCCTCCACAGAGTGAACACAGACACGGTCAAGTGCCTTGTGGAATCCCCATGTACTGTGTCTATGACACTGATTAGTTTCTCAGTCTAGAAATCATTTCTCAAAAGAAAATGAGGTTGGTTTTCTTGAGTGCCCAGGCTCTTCTTAGGGACAGTGCTGTAGGCCCTCTCATCAATAATTTATTCCAGAAAATATCCAGATAGATGCCTGAGAGCAAAGTTTACTGCATCTAAATCCATCTTTTTGAAAATCAGGATCAATGGTTGCCTCTCTCCACTGTTCTAGCACTGTGCTGGCGTTCTGCGGTGTCTCAAGGAGACTACTGATTTGGGTTTCACAATCTCATCTACAAATTACTTCAAGGTCATGGGACATAATTCACTTGGATTGATCTGACCACTTGAACAAGTTTAAAGAGGCTAAGTGCTCTCTTAAAATCTCTTGGTATCATGGGCTTCAAGTCTTTCTGGTGCTTTTAGTTTACCAAGTATGTGTTTGGTAAGAAATATGGAAGCAAAAATTAGAATAAGATAGTTCTGCCTCCTCTCTGGCATTTGTTAATATTACTCTGTCCTCATGGAGCAGTATGTTTGTTCTTTTTTTGATACATTTTACGGTTATAGTATACTCCACAAAACACATCTCTCTCTGGTGTTTGCGCCAACTTGATGCTGCTCTGTGCCACGCTTTTGTTTCATCAACAGTTTGTCCCCTCACTTCCATCAGAGAGCAGCGGTTGCTGATCAGAGAGCAATCTAGTTACAGTGTCCCTGCCCAGCTCCTTATTTCTTCTGCATTTATACTGACATTCTCCAAATGAGGGGAAACTGAGGCAGCCAGCCAGAAAGTAAAGTGAATTTTCCATGTGACTCTTACACTCTTTTCATTTCTGAGAGCTTCCTAGGTACTTTATGCTATATTTCCTTTTTACAGTTCCTGGTAAGTGGGAGAGAGTCAATCATTGCCCTGTACTTTCTGAAATTGGCTTTGCATAATCCTAAAGCCCTAAATAAAAACATCCAGCATTTTTTTCCTTCTCTTATTAAAAACACAAAGATGTTCTCCCCAAACGTTCTATGATGTTCAAATCGCAAGCTACATGGTTAGCTTGATGG